GCTGAGAGCAGTATTGAAGTAGAACTGGTGATAATCAAGTTGTGGCCAAATGATGTCACTGCTTCTGAAGGTCACAGTTTCTGCTGGTTCTGACTAATGAGCAGCTCTGGAGTTAAAACACAGAGTCAGCGTTATTACCACCAGTCCCTACTTCACAGAGAGGAGGCGGAGCCTGGAGAGACGCTGCAGGTGGACAATGAGAAAAGTGAGAATTGTGTATTGTTTTAGTTCCGAGGTTTTCAGGAAGGGATGATGTCAGATACAAAGAGATGAAAATGGACAATTTAAATATTAATATTTTTCATGTTGACGAATGAACAAGACAAATGTCCATTTCAACAGCAGTCTATAAAAGTTCATACTTTAAATATTCGCTGTTCACTTTGTTTTTTCAATTTGGATAATAGTCATTTGCGTTTCACATGTGACAAATTGCTTATTTTTTACATATTTTAGTTTCCATTGAAGAGCTCTGGTGCCCCCTAAAGGTGGCACATCTCACACCGTCAAGACCTTTGTTTAAGTTATATTTGACAGAAAACTGAGCATGTGTAGCGAAGGGTATGACTCATCTTGGTGTTCTAGTCCAGTGGTCCCTCAGGGTCTCCACAAGGCTAGGCTCAGGCTGTTTCCACAGGGACCTTTGACCTCATCGCTCTGTCGCCGTCTCAGTCCCAGACAGTCTTTCAACCTCTGCCACAATGACTTTTTGTTTTCTGCAAAACCTTTTGGCACCTCGGACATGAAATTGCTCGTGACCGTTCCTTGGAGAGACCAGTTTTCCTCCCTCTTCTTCTTCAGCTTGGACTTCTTGAACTTTTTCTGAAGCTGAATAGTCTTGAGCTCACACTGCAGAGTCAGGTGCGATGCTCTGACCCTGTCCAGTTCCTCCTGGAAGATCCGTTTCTCTTCCCTCTCCACCTGGACGACCTTTGCCATCTTCTTGATCCTTTTGGAGAGTTCGAGGTTGACTGAGACCAGAGTGCTGTGCTGACTCTGCAGGTTGTCAAACTGTTTCCAAAGCAGCGAGTTCTCTTCATCTGCGTTTTTCTGAACCACTGTGACCTCCTTCACCATCTTCTGATGAAGCCTGTCCCACTCTGTCCTCACGTTTTGCATCATCAGCTGATGGTTGGACATACTATCTGCGTGATCCTTGATGGACTTCTCCAGCTCCCTCTGCAGGTGGTCCACCTGTTGTCTCGCTGTGAAGACCTCAGCCTTGTATTTTCCCATTTCCTCTTGGAATGAAGCTCGGAGCCGGCTCAGTTCTTCCTGCAGAAGTCTTTTGTCCCTCCTCTCCATCTGGATCTCCTTTGCCATCTTCTTCAGTTTTATGGAGAGCTCGGGGTTGACTGTGACCTGGATGTTGTGCTGATTTTGCAGTTTTTCAAACTGTCTCAACAGTAAGATGTTCTGCTCATCTGCGTTTTTCTGAACTGCTGTGATCTCCTTGACCATTTTCTGGCGGAGGACGTCCAACTCGCCCCGTGCCTTCTTCACCATCAGCTGGTGGCTGGACACGCCCTCTGCATGAGCCTTTATCGCCTTGTCGAGCTCGCCCTGAAGGTGATCAGCCTGCTGTCTTGCCGTGAGGACATCAGCCTCGTATTTCTGGATGTCCTCCTGGTACGAGGCCCTGATTCTGTCCAACTCTTCTAGAAAGATGCGTTTTTCCTTCCTCTCTTCGTGGATCTCCTTCACCATCTTCTTGAACTTTGTGGAGAGCTCGTAGCTGACTGAGACCTGAACCTGGTGCTGATTTTGTAGTTTCTCAAACTGTCTCCACAGAAAGGTGTTCTCCTCGTCAGCATTTCTCTGAACCACCATGATTTCCTTCAGCATTTTCTGGTGAAGCATATATCGCTCAGCTTTCAGCCGTTGCAGCAGCAGCTCGTGGACGTCGGCCTCGTACCTCTGGGTGTCCTCCTGGTAGGACGCTCTGAGTCTGTCCAGCTCCTCCAACAGGATGCGTCTCTTCTTCCTCTGTTGGATCTCCCTTTCTATCTTCTGACGGAGGGCGTCCCAGTTGGCTGTCCACCGTTTCATTTTCTTTGGCATAGTAAACGTTAGGTGTCAACAGTTATTTACCGACCAGTGGTAGTCTTGTTGCAGAGCTGTTTTTCACTTTCTTTTTTTTTTCCTCACTTGTCATTTGTCACAGCGGTTGGTGTCAATAACCTAACCACCTCCTTTAATGTCTTTGATTTAAGGTTTTTGCAGGTCATGTCAGGACTTCAGCTGGTTTAGTCGGTGCCTTTGAGGTTACAGGTTTAAGTGTGGAAGAATTTGTGATGTTTTAACAGCAATATGACAATTCCACACAATGCAACATTTGAATTGAAGTACAAATACATGGCTGTAATGTATAAACCTTCATATGTGTATGCTTCAAATCTCTGTAGTCATAGTGAGTTGGACAATAGACACAAAATACGTTTTTTTTCTCCTTTCATTGTTTTTGATGAGAGCAGCTCAGACAGAGAGCACCAAAATGAATCACCCGTGAATGACACTCCACCGACAGCAGGTTTCTTTTTTCAGAAATCCTGCTTACGCAAGATTTTATTGATTTTGATCTGTATTTTAATCTTCATAGCAGGTTTCTTTTTTCAGAAATCCTGCTCACGCAACATTTTATTGATTTTGATCGGTATTTTAATCTTCATGGCTTTGAACTATGAAAATAATATCTGATATGGTCCAATATTAGCATAATTATGTAATATCTGTAAGTATTGTTTTTCCTCCGATAATGGAAACCCGACAGCAATGCTTTGGTTTTTGCGAAATCATGTGTGCTCTAAAAATAGTTTTGGGGAAAAACGGCTGTATATGAAAGTGAAAGTCACTAGATGGCAGCATTACAGCTCATTTTATTAATCTGTTTCAATAGTCAAGGGATTGTATACAGAATGCTGTGCCAGAGACTCGTACAGTGATTTGTACAGATAAATACATAAATATTACCAGGCCTATATTGGTATTGGTTGATATCAGAATCAGAAATTGTTTGGACAATATCGGCAAAAAGTTAATATCGGACATCACTAGTCATAACATCACATCTTTTAAGTACCATTTCACAGAACAACAACACACAGCGCCTCCTGTCATTTCCTGATGCAATAGTCCTAGTCAGCCACCAACTGTCCTGCATTCTCCACATCATTCAGACTGTGACCCCAGTTAATGTCAACAATCCACTCCAGGAAATTAGCTGGTAACTTTCTACTCTGGCACAATTTATCTAAACCAAAAAACAAACTAACTATCTATCCCACCACTTTGTCAGCACCCATTGACATTATAAACATGCCCCCCCACCCTCACTTTGTTACCATAAAATCTATAAAACGTATCTGTCCCTGAACACCTGGAGAGCACCTCTGGAGACTGTACTCTGTTAAACTTCTTCCTTTCTTGCAAGAACCAACTCCATCTGAACAGTACTGTACACTGCGCAGTATAAGCAATGCAATAGTTTTAAAGGTTGCACCGGACACATGTAAAATCCTCCAAACAAACCTGAACGTCAACAAAACCTGACACACCTCCACACGCCGTGACATGGTCCAACATCTGTTCCCCATTTGATGCAGGGAATCCCAGAGAACAAGTCAAAGAATCTGAGGTTCTTCTTACCTGCTTCCCTTACATCCTGTGCGACAACTGAGGGTAAAGACAGATCACCCCCTGCACTGAGGACCCTCTGTGAGAGAGGATGCTGTCTGTCTGTCAGACAGACAGGTAATGGAGGGGCAGATGAGAGGGGAGGCAGGTGGACAGACAGCCGCGGTGATGAGTAACTGCTGGCTGCTGCATCCTCTCCCTGCAAGCGGAGCTCTGAAAACTGAGCAGAGCAGAGTGCCGCACACATCTTTGCTCCGGCTCCACTCCCACTCCCACTGTGTGTGTGACTGCTGACTGGTTTTCATAAGGCGGACGCCGCAGCTGTGGAGTGTGTGGAATCCCTCTGACTACGTACCTGATGGTCCATATATCCAATGATTTGAAGGCAAATCCAGTTGACACTGCATGCATGTATTGGTCCCCACACTTCTTACCAGCCTTTGAGCTTTCACCAGCTCTTCCTGTTGCCAGTAGGTGGCCTTGTGAGTATTTTTCATGCAGAAGAAAGAGATTTGCGACACTGCAAAAAAGTGTTTTTTTTTTCCAAATTGACAAACAAAACAAAGCCTGGTGAAAATCATCTGCGCACCAGACAAACACAACTTTAGTTCAATCAAATCAATGTGACATTCAAAGACTAAAAATGTGGTTTTTGGCATCAAAGAATAATGTAACAATACTTTTAGGGCCTTATACATTCATTTATTTCACTAAACGTTTTGGACATTGATTATTAACACTGAGTTCTCCTTTTTCTAATGTTTTGTACAGTTAAATTACGTATAAGTAGGGTTGTTAAAAATAAACTATTAACCATGACACTAATGACATTTGTAATGTGTTAAAGCATGGGCAGAATAAGGGTTTGTGTATCCAGTAATTATATTTATTGTTGCTCTAGTACAGCTTTTTTTTTTGTACAAACTGCAGGGAAAAGTTTTTTCTTTTACCTGATAAACTGGAGTTGAAAATTTCAACTATGTTTTCCATATCAAAATATTTTTTTCTTCCGATGGTATGCGTACCATAGTTTAAGAGAAAAAAATTGTATTTGAACACAGAATCTTCTAGGTGGATGACAGTCCTGTGTTCAACAAACACACATTTCTAATTTCATATGCCTTTCATAGCATAGCTGTGTCAAAACGCTGTGGGTTTTCTCTAAAATATCTGTGGATAATCGAGGGAAACACTGGTGTAAAAACCACGGCTCTCTACCGATAATGGACGCCTCCCTTCCCGCCCTCCCAGGAGAAAGATGTTGAACACGAAGTGGGCCCCCCGACTGGCTATGAACGCCTCTGCTCCTCAGCGGATTCATCACGGCACCAGTCACACAGTATAACATTAATTTATTCAGGCAAGCCTAAAATCTCGCGTTGCTACCATTCAGACATCTTGCATTTTATTAAGTCTGGTCTTGGAGCAAAGCGACTCAAACATACATGTTCTGTTCGCACAGACACGAGCTGTGGCGGTGAATCCTCGTTGCTTTGTGCTCGACTTCAACGGATGTGAGGCGGTTGGTTAGAGCGAGTCTCGCGTGCGACTCCCGCGGACCTCGGACGCTCTCTAACGGGGGCTCATCCACCAGCTTTGTGCGTCACATCCATCGCTGCCAACGCCGCCGCTGCTGTTTCTCTTGTTTCTTTTCACCGCTGAGGCAACATGGCAACTCCCGCCGCCGTCAACCCCTCCGGTAAGATTCTCTCTCTGAGTGTGTGTGCTTTTAAATGGAGACGGGACTTGACCGTTATTTTTTAGTGAGGACCAGAGACAGTTTTTGTTGTTCGAAGCAGGGCTGTAGCGCCGACAGGCCGCCGGAGCCTGGCTCAAGCATCCATCCCCCTTCCCCCACTGAGCCGCCGTTGACAACAGCGCTTTATTCCTCAACTCAACGGCCATTCTAAACGTCAAAAAAAACAGGCTGTTAAATTAACACATCCATAGAAATACACAGTACACCGCCATGTTTGCTGCGGTCTCCTTCCCCGTAACAAGAACACGACTATTCGCTGCTTTCACTCCTTTATTCAAAGGTTATTCTTCACATATGGTGGTTCCAGCCTCGTTGCCCTTCATTTGTTGCCTGTGGCCCTCGTTGTCATGCTCCCAGCGTCCACCTGTTTACGGAAATTAACACGGACTATCAACTGTTGATCGCCCGTTACAGAACCGTTACTCACATAATGGACACAGCCATGCAATTGCCAAACCTCGTATAAGAAACATTAAGAGTTTGCTGTTAGCACGCTGTCCTGGCTGAGTAAAAGTGATATTTCCGACAAAAAATGTATTTTCAGATTATGTTTAATGTTAACTGTAATCCGGCATGTAGCACCCGTGTGTAATATTAGAGATAAAAAGAATAATAAAGCTATTGTTTTGGATCTTTACTGATTCAGGAGAGGGGGCGGAGCTGAGTGACAAGAAAGTTTGGATTAAACTGAAGTACGTGACTCGGAGTACTTTACGGTGTTTGCCGATTATTAAGCTGTGGGCAACGAAGTATACTTTCGAACTGCTTGGGGTGTTTTCTCTGCTGGCAAAAATGTATATGTAGATTTCGTTGGCTACAGAGTCTGCCGCTGTGTTTGAGCTAACTAAGGCTAACCGAACTCAACTTTTAATTGTTTTTATACAATATAGTAATTTTACAGGTGACGTTACTTTACGGTACTTCACACAGTAAATCACATTAAAAAGGCTATTTTTTTTACATCTATACAGTGTACTTTTTAGAGGTAGCCCTTCAAGGGTAACTGTATTGCTGATGTACCTCCCATGGTGAAAATGTGTTTGACACCCCTGTGTTAAATAGTGGCATTAAATAGTTGTGTTATATTCAAAAGATGGTTGAAATGCTACACGTACACAGTCGCATATAATGAACTTTAAACAACGGTACATTTTTCTGCCTCAACATTTTTTTCCCCCAAAATCCTTGAGGGTCATCTGCAAGCAGACCTGGAAAAATAAGGCATCATTAGAAGACTCACTGAGGTCGCCTGTTGAATGCAGTTCTGTGTGCAACCTCTGGAGTGTGGCGGTCTGGGTAAACAAAGAAAATCTTAAATTGTTACATGGTAAACCTGTGTGGCGGAGGCCGACGTTGCTTGTGTACAAATTGCTGTTTCACTGTGGGCTCAACGGGCATAACGTTAGCATGTGTTTAAAATGGGCAGGTTGTCTGAAGTACAACTGCCAGAGCCGTCCCGTGGGACCAACATGTGTCCAGCAGACCACATATGGGTTGCATGGTCTACCTATAATGATCCAACACACAAATGGAGCTTAAATACTGTTGTTAATTGTAAAAATGTGTTTTTAACTAAAAAAGCAAAAATATATCATACTAAAACTAAATCTGCTGATCTGGCACAATTTCTCAACCAAAATATTTATACAGTGCAGACTGTCAACACAATCGATCAAATCTTATCTGCATGGGTTTAAATTAGTATGGTTCATATGGTTTCAATTCAACAATAACAACCAGCATCACCCGGGACCAGAATCCTGTTGGGTTTTTCAGTGTTAGACGTCAATCTAAATAGAGTCTGGTTTTAGGAAAGTGACGTCCAGTTCAGAAAAATAAACTGACGCCAAATTCCAAATAATCCATGCACAAAACCTCAACACAACACACGTATTAGCAAGAATGCTAATGTGGTTTGTATAGTTGTGTTCATGTTTCAGCTGCTCACTGTCAGAGGTTACCACAACATGTTTGTGCCTCTCAGCGTCGTTGATCTGGAATAGACTGTTCACGCCAAATGCCATTACTCGCAAATTTCCTTTGTTTTTCTGCTCTCACTTTTGGCACCAACCGTGCTCCTGAACACCCCCTCAGTTCATGGGAACAAAAAAACAAAACTCCAAAGGGATCAGTTGAAAAAAGCGCAGTCGTTCTTTAAGCACTGAGAGCGTACAATTTTATTTTCTTTCTTTTTTTGAGACCTTTCTATGAAAACAGGTCAACCGTACTCTTCATCACGTTCCCTGCTCCTTCATTGGCAATGTAAATGAAACGAGAATATAAATAAAGAATTCGCTAGTTATTAGCACCTTGGCTGCATACCGAGTGTGGAGATGAGGTTGTTGTTTGAATGAACAATGAACAGATGAGACAATAACCCTGCCAGATAACCAGAGGACACTCGTATAAGACCAAACAGAATCCTGGCCTCTCGCTGCCTTGTTTAAAGATTAGCAGGTGTATCTGTCGTAACAGACGAGCCTTGAATCTCATGGAAGCAGAAACAGGAAAGGTCAAAGGAACACCTTTGTTTTTAATTATTATTCTCCTGCAATTAAATGACAGACCTAATGTTAGGCAGGAAGATGTGTTACAATGTATTGACTTCCTCTTTCTTATTCCTTGTGCTGTTGTAACCAAATAAGAATAAAGTACATTTACTGACATTTACTTAGCTTTCAGATTTAACCTGAAATGACAGAATGGTCAGGTGAATCGGCCCCCGGAACAGATACTCAGCAGTGTGGGAATCCCGCTTTGTCACTGTTGGATTATCTCCAGATGACTGTCACCCAGATCCAATTGTGTAAGAGCATGTGAAATAGTGAGTGAGTGAGGAGACCTAATGAGGGTTGCGTGTCTGAGGATTAAAATGATTTCAGTGTCCTTAGAAAACAAACCACATAGAAAATTTGAAAAAAAAGGAGTTAAATTAAATTTATTGTGCCCAAATACTAATAATATAGAAATATTGCACATTTTTACAAGTTTTGACAGATCACTATAAGACTGTTTGATAAGCAAATATTAATGTTTTGAATAAATGTGTCAAATTTGGCTGCTGTACGACATTTGACCTCAACCATGATCACAGGTCGATAAGTAACAGCAGTATTTCAAATATTTCATGTTTGGGTGCTTGTGTCAGTGTAAAAACAAATGAAATATTCTAAAAAATTGTTGTGCAATTGAGAAATGGAAAGGCTGCCTCTAGTGGTGGGTTGCTTTTTTTCTTTTCAGAACCGTTTCATGATGGAACACTTTTTCGTCAATGGCACTGTTTTGTGCATGTTCGTGTGTGTGTGTTTTTTTTCCATAAGCAGTAAATGAAGTGGGATTGCGTACTGTATCAAATATTAAGGATGTGAGTGGGTGCACTGGGGCGTGCAGTAGCAGAGAGTTTGTTTGGCCTATACATCGCATTCGGTTGAATGAATGAAAATGAAGTGAATGCAGCTGAGAGATGGAGGGTAAATAACAGGCCAAACAACATGGGCATTTGGGACGATGGGAGGAAAAGGTAACTATGGAGGATGAATTCGCACACAATGTCATTTTTTTTATTCAACCAGAATATTTGTTGATGAATGAAGTTGACAGTTTGACAGTCTGTCTGGATTATTTATCTGTGTCTGGGAGACGACGGCAACAGAGAGCCTTCGTTAAGACCACTGTAGTGTTACTGATAAACTGGTCTGGACTGGTTTTTGTCCAGAAAAAATGTTTGTTTGAAATGTTTATCATAATTCATCCTGATTAATCCACAGCCAACCATGTTATCAATGAGATGAATCATTTTAATAGTTTGACAGGGCCACATGTTGGCAGACATAGATAGATAACAATAGTAAAGTGGACACTCTCCTTGCAGAGATGGGCAATGACCTGCCGGGGACCGTTGGAATGACCGGAGCAGTGGGTGGTGGCCAGGTGAGGATGGGAGGAGCCGTGTCAGGCCGTGGCGGCAAAAGAAGATCTGGAGGGTGAGTGTCTTTAACCACAACAGTCGCACAACACACAACACACTTTCACTTATCATTGATGCAGAAACTGCTGAGTGATGTGTTTGGTTCTAAGCCCGGTCAGGTGACGGACCACGTTTGTTAATCCTCTCATTAAAACTGATAAAGAGAATTTCTCAACAGATTTTTAATTGATTTTAAAACTAGTCAACTATAATATTTTGATATTTCATTTATTAAAACCAAATTAAAATAAAAACTAAAAAAAGTTTAGTGTTTTCTCTACATTTTCTCCTGTTTCCTCCCACAGCCAATAAACATGCAGACTATGGGATTATGTGATTAGACACTGTAGGCATGTGAGTGTAAATGATTGTGTTAATGTGTGGCACTGATGGAAACACAACCCTCACCTGTTGATGGCTGGCGTTGGCTCCCTTGGCTTCCTGTAAAGGAATAGGAAGTAGATGATGGATATATGGATGGATGGACTGACTGACTGACTGACTGACCTGTCGTCAACAGTGTGCTTCACATGACAACAAAAAAAAGGTTCTCTTCAGGTTCTAAAGAATGAGCAGTGTGGAGCTCTGTGGTAGTTAACAGCTAGTTATGGTGGTCAGAGTTATTCATTAACAGACTTCAGCTCTTCATTAATCAGACTGTTTGGCTCCAGGCCTTTCTTTAACACATGCCTCACCTTAAGAAACTCTCTGTGCTTCAACTTTGACAAACAACTGAACTACGAACAGAAGTGACACCATACTCTCAAAGTTGACAATTGACATAATACAGTGAATTCAGTGACAAGAAGTAGGATGATGTAGTTGTCATAGATATACTACATGTCACTAGGACTGGGTGTTGTTTGGAGTCTTTTTGTTTTAGACAATTAACATCTAAAACGGTGATGAATGGATATTTTTACCCAGCCCTACAAGTTACAGTATTTCAGATGTAAAACTATAAGGTACTGTATGTCAGAGAGTTCTGGGTGTTTTGGGCTGGGCCCTCATTGGTTCAGTATTTGTATTAAAGCTTATGTAAAGCTTTACTTTTCTGTTTGAGGTACTGAACAATATTTTATCAATTGAGTTTTTCTTGTTTTTAACTGTAGACAGAAGAGTGTGTTTGACTGGCTGCTGGTGTGTGTTTGCTGTAAAGGTGAAGGCGGAGACCGTACCGTACGTGACTCCAGTATCTGGTACTTTTAATCCCCCAGAGTCCGGCAGTGCATTTAACCCATGCAGAGGCACGAGTCCTACACAAACATGAATAAATAATACAGACATAGACGTAGGTAAATAAACATGGCACAGAGAGTCAGCAGGGAGCGCTCATGTCTGCGCTGTGTTTTTTTATTTATTTAACTCTGTGTGTTTGGACCCACTTTCCCTTGACATCTGTTATAGACAAACAGAGAGAGAGAGAAACACAGAACTAAATTAGCCAGTGTTTTGAGACAAACAACCAGCCATGTGGGAGGAAACTGGAGAACGAGGAGAAATCCCACGCACACATGGAGAGAACATGCAGAGAACACGCAGAATAATTAGTTCTTGGACTACTACAGTACTTACAATAGGTGGCACTCTTCTTACCATCGTCATTAGACCTGTTTCAATATCACTGCCAGTGGAACTGAATCAAAACAAACAGTGACAGTTGACTAGTTTTATCTGTAGAATATACCCTGCGGGCAACTTGCCCCCGGACACCACGTTGGTGAGCCCTGCTGTAAAGTCAGTGGTGCCTTCATGTGGTCACACCAACAGACAGTCTACTACAGACATTTTGGTGCCTCCTCCCAGCAGATGGCGCCCTGGGCGACCACCTAAATGGCCCAGGCTAAAGGAGGTAGTAACAGTGTTTTCTTGTTTCTCTCAGAATGGACTTTGATGACGAGGACGGCGAAGGACCGAGCAAATTTTCAAGGTGAGAATTTGATTGCCCTCTTCAGGGCATCTGATGAAATGTAATAAAATAAATTAGGTCTGTATTTATACTTGTGCTGCAGCTAAAATCATAATGTGTTCATGTGGCACAGAGTAATTATTCAAATAAAACACAGCTGGATAAAGCTGACATAGACCCAGTGTTTGTGACCCCCATGACCCCATGACTTACTTTACCTATCATTCCATCACAACGGCAGACTTTTTTTTTGTTCACAGCTACTCTGTTACTGCCTCTGAACTGTTCCTTTGACCTTTTTATTTGTCTCACCTTGTTTTTCCTTTTTTTCATGCAGTGTAGTGTGCAGTAAGTGGGAGGTACAGTACAGTAAGTGCTTGTTTTAATGAGCTGACGTCATAGCAGTGGCTTTGTTTTTCCTAAGACGAGCTGTGGTGCGCGCTGTATGAAGGAGGAGGATGAGCTGCCCTCTGCTGGACACAGGAGAAACTGCATGTTTTTTACATTGGGAAGCAGCCACACGAATGATTTGTAGTCAAAATGTGACGGTTTTCCCGCGGAAGCAAGACGATGTTTGACCCAAAAAAGTAAACGTGGCTCAAATAATGAAACCTTGGAGAAAAAAGTTAATGAAAGAGAGAAAGATATGTTGTAATTATATTCTCCAGGTAGTGTATTTTTCTTGCTAAGACTTTGGGTTTTTTTTTACGTAAACTCCCCTGGCTGTAACATTACAGCATGTACCAGGTTAAATACCAGGTATTTTTTTATTTTATATTTATTTTTTTTAATTTCTTGGCAGGAATTTAATTCCCAGTTTTCTTCAGGTCATCAAACAACTGTCTTCAAAAGTGTGTTCTGCAGGAATAAGGTGTGTCAGCGTTATTACCTAGACGCAGAACAAGACCTGATCAAAATGAAAGGATTTATTCTCTGAACTGTTCTGCTCTGGTCCAGTTCGAGAGGAACTGTTGACACAAAGAGCCATCACGGCAGGAGAGCCTGAAAAACAAGATTTTATCTTTAGCGACAGGTGGCGACGAAGTGAAGTGTCCTTTAGGGTTGTGTTAATTTTCATACAGAATGATTTTTGATTGGATTTACAAACAACTCGTCTGGATGCTAATGGACTGATAAAAAAAAAAAACAGAAAAGGAGGAAGTCTACTTTTGATTGAGTTGTTCTGAACGGACGACAGTTGTGGTTCAGTCACAGAGTTCATACACACTTTGGTTTTCATTGAGTTTTTTTCCCATGTCGTCACCATCAAACATCGACCATTCACCATCCAGTGGCAGCTACAATATCATGTGATATATATTTATTATAAAGCTGTTGAGGCAGCTGTAACCGCCCCCCCCTCAGCCCCTCACCCCCTGGTGTGTGTGTCCATGTGCAGACTGTCTCATAGACCTATCCTCTCTTCTCTGCAGGTATGATGACGATCAGATTCCTGTTGGGGATAAGGAGCGATATGCTAGGTAGGCCAAGCTAGCCTAGGCCTCAGAGGATTTTTCCGATGACTCTGAGGCCGTTCAACCCTCAAACGTCACAGCTGCTCTGTTTACCGGCTGCCGCACTCTGGAAACTAAGCCACAAATACTTGGTCGTCGCACTAAGCAATTTTTATTTACAATGATTTAAGTAATTCAACATTTATTTCAAGTTCAACGTTAGCCGCAGTAGCTAATGTTAGTTACTTTATGAGACTATAATTCTGATGTTTACCACATGGGGGCCTGAATAATAAACTCATCACAGCGGGGATTGTCGCCATGGTGACCGTGAGCTCTGTTGTGGTCAGTCAGTGGTCAGGTGACGCTGAGATCATGGTGATGACGGAACTAAGTCTGGTCAGATTATCTGATGAGTCAGAGTTGGAGCGCTTCAGTCACTGACGTATTTGGTTTGTCATTTTGGATAGAAATTGATAAAAAAGGATTTTAAAAAAGATAAAAATAATAATTAAAATAGTTAGTCTCAGGAGAATCATTGAAACATTGATGTTTGTGGTGATGTAAAATTTGAGACTTTTAGCCTCTTCGGCTGATTAGTTACTAGGTAAATTAGTTTTTTTTTATTTGTTGCTCATAACTTAAGAATGTCAAACACTCATTCAAATTATTTAAAATCTGTATTATCTCAATATTTTTATTAACAGTGAGCATATCGCAATATTTAAATTAAATTTGCTATAATTTAATCCATGTTTTATTTAATAATTTAGTCACAACTGCCTGTTGACTACAATATTTAATTAAAAAAGGTTTTTTCAGGCTGATAATGCTGAAAAAGTTCTTCATCCCAACTGAAGGTGGTAGCATAGTTCATAGAAGTGTGTATTCTGAGAATCCAGTCTCTGTTCATGACAGAGTCCAGTATGAGCAGGATTCTGTTCAAGGATTCTCTAAGCCTCAGTTCCTGTAAATAAATGATCCCTGAGGAAGTAAAATTCTTCTCTGACCCACGCTGTCCTCCAACACACCTGAGTGACAGCCTGGAGACTGCCGGCCAATCAGAGGAGGCTGGTTCACTGTCCAGCGGTCTGAAAAGCTCTCCAATCCCCTAACTGCTCTCTCCTCTGTTAAGGGAGAACCACAGTGAGATTGAGCGACGCCGACGCAACAAAATGACCCAGTACATCACCGAGCTGTCGGACATGGTCCCCACCTGCAGCGCCCTGGCCAGAAAACCCGACAAACTGACCATACTGCGTATGGCGGTTTCCCACATGAAGTCCATGAGGGGCACGGGCAACACATCCACGGACGGAGCCTATAAACCGTCCTTCCTCACAGAGCAGGTGAAAAGTCGTGCACAGCTGACGCTTAATAGGTTTAAAAACAACCCTTTGTAAACACTGAAAAAACTGAGAAATGCAAATGGAGGCCTGAGGGCCATTAGTGGTGCAGGCATAACTCCAGAGTGGCCCAATCTGTGGTCATTTGAGAAATGTGGAGGGAAACTGAAAAAACAAAATAAAATTGGGGAATCTATTCAGATTCATAAGGAAGTGAAAAATTTGATAAAAATATAAGACTTAGATTTATTTAAAGCAATAAGATTTTTCTTATTGCTTGAAAAACAGTTTACTAAAATGTATCTTTACCTTATGCCCAGTTAGGTCAGCACTGACTGGATCCCATTAGGTCTTTACAGTATTACAGTTTTAATCAATATACTATATGTTGTATTTGGAGGAGTGTTACATACACTTCAGTTTTCTGATGTCGTGCATCTCTGCTGCCCCCAGGAATTAAAGCACCTGATCCTGGAGGCTGCGGACGGCTTCCTGTTTGTGGTCGCTGCGGAGACGGGCCGTGTGATCTACGTGTCAGACTCGGTGACGCCCGTCCTCAACCATCCGCAGTCGGAGTGGTTCGGCAGCACCCTCTACGAGCAGGTTCATCCAGATGATGTGGACAAGTTGAGGGAACAGCTCAGCACCTCGGAAAACTCCATGACAGGTAGAGAAAGTTCCGGGTTCCTTCACTGTCGTCAGTCTGTGTGTGTGATCGTAAGCGGTGCTGCTTTGTAGACCTGTTCTCTGACGGTGGGTAGTTCTGCAAATCCTCTCTGTGACGTTTACCGCCTCACTGTTGTTGTCTGTAGTGGTCACTAGAGGGCAGTGCTCTCTTACAATTCCAGCGATGTCTCAACAGTATCTGAGTACTGAGAGTTCTGACCTGGTCTTTTGTAGTCTGTCTAACCTCTGCATTACACAAACACATACTCACGAAGCCACATGGATGACAAAAGATGTACAAGTCATATAATATTATTAATAATAACAGTATTACTAATGTTTTAGTAATACTGTAGAGTAAATAGAGTACTATTTCTTGCCTGTGTCGTATCTCAGAGGAAGTCTTTTCACTTTACCAACCACTGCTGTTATTGTCATTGAATCCAAATGTTTTAAATACTCTCACAGCTGAATTTGGAGTTGATATAACTAATTTAGATTAATTATTCAAGGGCATGTTAATTAAATTAATGGTTTCAATCAATCTGCAGCACTGCATTTTATTCTAACAGACTGCTTCCATATGTTCTGCTACATGCTTGAGAAACAATGAATAAAATGAATGGGATTTAACTGCAACAAGTACATAACACAACACATTGTACTTCGTTCCCTTTATTGCATTTATAATGATGTATTTTCATTATTATAATATCTTATCATTACAGTGTTGCTTAATTTTGTATAAAAATAATGTTGACAATATTATTGTTTATCTGCGTCCCATATAATGTTTGGGACAAAATATAGCCCACCAGGTCCACGTTAGCAATGCAACAGTCACCAGTGATGAAGAGACACAAACACGCAACAATCCCCAGAGTTCTGTGCACTTCAGCGGAAATGAGCAAATGAGCAACACCCTTACCGCGCCCTCTCTCACACATCGCCTTTTTGACCTTGGTTGTTCGCCCTGTCTTTTTTTTTTTAAGCTCACAGATGTGGAAGGACTGACAGACATTAATCAGCCAGATGTGCAGCCAGTTACATTTTCCCCAAATACCACAGATTTCCCTGTAACTCACTGAATGAATAATAAGTTAATTACCGTCAACGGGGATTTAGTATTCTTTAGAACAGCCTGAGGCCACAGCATAAAAATTCTAAAGAAAAAAAAATGTTTTTAGTAAATTAAAAAAAAAAATTAATAAGTGAAATCAATCACATTGTCTTCACATTTTTACCCCATTTTATTGCACCGTCAGACTGATACTCTCTGTCTACCCCCGAACCCTATCTCCACCACAAACATTCATCCACTTCCGGTGGCTCTGATACACAGTGGATAAACATGTCGTGCCACATGAGGCTGTTTAATCCCTTTGCATTGACACAATTGACTAATGAATGTGATAGGAATATAAATCTTTGTAAAAAATTGATGTTACATCAATTTTACACCTGAGGCTAATTTTTTAACTTGCCTGCTAACAGCAAATGATTAATATTATAAAACTAAATGCTATTATGAACAGTAAATTGTCAACAACTCTGTTTGTAATTTTGCAGTATAACCACAGTATCTGAAACTTCACTTAGTAAAAGTATCATTAAAACGTGTTCCTGCTACATATAAGTCGGTTGCAGGCTGTCAACCTCTGGAGTAGGTCAAAGGTTATGTCCACGTGAAGTGCTCACAAAAGACAGAAACCAATGCGTGTGTGTTATCATATGCGTTTTAATACTACAATCAGAAGCACAGTTTAAAGGCCACTATGGGTGGTCTGTTTAAATACCCCTGTCATCAGTGACCCAAACAAAGGGTTTTTTAAATTGTACATAATTCAGGGGCAATTTCTTTATTTATTTCACACACAACACAGTTCAGAAAAATAAACAACTCAGGACCAGTCAAAAGTATTTACATCTGTGGGAGGTGGGAGAAAGTACTAGGAGGAGGAGAGTCGACTTTATTGTTTACTGATCTGACACAGTTGTGGGTGAAAAATCTTTTGTCTTTAGGGAACAAATAATTGAGAAAAACTGCTTTAACACATCACCTTAGTGAGCGAGCAGCACTTCACTTCCTGAATAGGCCACCACTGCCCCGCTGTATCGGTATTGGTTGGTATCGAATTCGGAAATTAAGTGTTTGAACAATATCAGCAAAAGGGCATCTCTATTTTTTTTTCCTAAACACCAGTTCAACGTAATGTCAAACAGTTCTGTAATTCACTACGCAGCTACGAGGTTATTTCAACACTAGTCACTGAGGGCTCTGTGGCACACAGCCTTTGTGACGGCTTTGAATTAAACACAGGCAGCATGCCACTGTCTGGATAATTAATGGAAAACACTACTGTCAAGTCTGTTGTGTCCCCATTTACTAGAAGTAGTGTTTGGTAAATGGAGGGAAATTTCACAGATGGTTTGGAAACACGCAGTGGTGATTGAACTCTAACGTTCAAGTTTCACAACAGCAGAATTCATGTTTGTGTATGTTTTATACAAACACAGATTGGTTGTTTTTTTTCCAGTTGTTGATCATTGATTCCAGTGACTTACAGAAAATCTTGACTCATCATCTCAACAACACAACAACAACTGATCTTTTTTTTCCCGCTGAAGACAAACGTTTATTTTAGTTTTTCAGCAAATGTTGTCAGTCAACGTGTACCAAAGCAGAGGATCGCGTCCTTTTGGTTGTACATCAGCTTCTGTCAGAGAAGGCTTCATCTCAGGGTTTTTCAAACTTTCAAATAAATATTAATCCTTTTCAAATTTTAATGATTAAATGAATGATAAAAAGACCACATTTTAGACCACTGTTTACTTTCACTTTTGCTCTGTGTTTTTATAAAAACTTCTTTCTCTTAGAAATTTTCAACAGAAAATTGTCAAAATGGGGTCACAACGAAAAAAGGCTTACATCCAAGTTACAGAATCTTAGATATAACTTATGTATACATATATATTTAATATGAGATTAGCATGTTGATAGTGTCTTATTTACCATCAAGAATAGAACTGCGATAAATAATTTGTTCAACTAACATGATTAAAATTCATGGACGGAATATTTTACCTATTTCATTGAATACTCGGCTGCCTGAGTAATCAAGTAGGAATAGAGTTAGAACTTAACCTGATGTGAATGTACAAGGTCTGGTTACGGTTGCATCGCGAACACCTGTCAACTTTCATGGTCAGTCAGGTAAAAAAATGACTCGTCTGAAAACTGGGAACGGAATGTTCCTATTTTCTGCTTTTCCTCTTGGTAAATCGCTGATGATGTCATTTGGTCTGTTTTGGTTTACCATGGTCTGTGTGCATCTGCTTCATCACGTTTGCGTGTTTGCATGTGGTGGTCCAGTCCAGTCCATATTTAAAGATACTTGGAATTCCTCCTCCATCTGGAAGAGATCAGGCCTGTTGCTAATAAGGATGGATAGTGATTGTGCAGGTTATCGTAACAGAACCAAGCTGTAAGGTCACATCATCTGTCTCCATAAAGTCGGTGCTAATTAAAGCCCTGGTCTAACATAGATCCAAGACCCTGAGGGTCTTTGAGTGCGTATTTTTTAAGACTCCAGGTCAAAGAATTGGCAGTATTGGTTGTTTAACTCCACAAAAAAAAGAAAAGAAATGATAACAAAAATCTGTTTAAAATATGGCGGTTTACACAACCTGTAAACTTGGAATGGGTTCGAGTTGCAGGTAAATGATGACACGTTACCAAAAAATGAGAAGAAGCAGAAACACTATCGAGCTGAATCAGAAGTCAAAGCTGGAGAAAAGGAAAAATTATACACCATACCAAATTGAACAGCAAATCAAAACAGATGATCCCAGAAGTGAGACTGGAAGCTCACAGACGGAGTGGGTTTAAAGGTAGAGAAAATGAAACGCAGGTGAAAATATCACGACAAGGAACACGGGATGAAAAAAAAAAAAGAAACCCAAAAAATTCTATGACTGTTGGCAATGTTGAAGAACAGACTAAAGAACAGAATTAGCTTCACATGACACATCTGTCCGAGCACACGGACATGTGTTGGTCCGGTTATGACTCAGAATTCAGACTTAACCCATTACACAGAGTAGACAACACATGAAAACAAAACAACATCATCACACATGAACACCTCATAACAGACTATAAATAAGAGAATAAAAAAAAGAAAAGAGGCAAAAGCTCAAAAGAGACACATCTGTTAAAGCAGATAAATTTAGCATTTTTTAACATGTGGCGCTGTTGTTTTTACGTTAGTAGAAAAAAGGAATGATATTTGGTGCGGCATCAATGAAGTTGCCCATCTTACTCTCATCTGCAGAAACGGCTGTGGCGTGTTCAGTGACAACGATGCTCCAAATGTTGTTGAAATTCTCTGTAACATGACATGGTTGTTTTGACAAAAAGCGATTACATCCATGATTGTGGAACTTTATCCTGCTTTAGTCTGGATTGTTAATTCCACTTCAGTATAGACGTTGACTGTATAGACCTCCATTTTTACGGCCTGTTGAAGTTTTTTTAGGAGGATATTTTAAGAGAGTGAAGAAGTTTGAAACCTCTGGTGCTTTATGGCTGTTTTTCAGGGGATTAATCGAGTGCACACATGTGCGTTGTGAGAGTGGTATTTGTACGTTTTCATATAAAGCGCACTGTTATTCATGAATTCCATGGACAATTTACAGGAGATTTTTGATTCTCTCGGTAATACGGGACAAAGCGTGTCCCTTTTTAGCTCAATGGAATGCATATTTTCGTTTCTGAATACAAGAAATTCTATTTTTTAAGGGACGGTTAGCTACCCTTCAAATGGCGCTTAACGTCGTAATGGCAAAGTGGCAAAAAGTTTTTCTGAAATTGATCGCACACGATATGATTTTTCACAAGCCTAGTTTGGAGTAAGGGATACGACTGAACTGAAGTGGCTGTGAGTTTATAAACTGTACAGATACTGTACAGTTTAAATGGTTCAAAGGAAGATATTCCATTGGCTTTCGACTGTGTAAGATGCACAGTAATGAAATCATATTATTTGTCCTCAGATGCTCTCTCTCTCTCACACACACACACACTCTCATCTCAGATGCTCTCGTGCACAAAATCTGCGCTCACAGATTGGCTAGTAATCTTTAGAGAAACATTCTGTGATTCTGTATACACTCTGCAGAGGGAAGTGCTGTGTGTCTGTGTGTGTCTGTGTGTGTGTGTGTGTGTGTGTGTGTTCGTGTTCTGGGCCAGCGCGTTGGCAGGATTATGCATGTTCTGGGCCAGCGCGTTGGCAGGATTGCGGAATGCGAAACTCCTACACTGATTTGCAGAGGAGTGGGTTTCAACTTAAGGACGAACCCATTAACTTCTGAAACCCATCTGATTTAGTCGATACAAGTCAGAGGTGATGTTTGAAATTGCACCAAAATGACTGGAGTGATAAATGACAAGGTTTCTCACAGCAGGTTTAAGGTTCATCACCACAGAATACATTCCAACAAACAGCACACTAAAGGGGATTTTTTTCGAGAATGATCCTAAATCAGTGAATCTAATTTGCATTTTAAAACCCCACCAGCAATAATGGGGGCTATAAAGTTTTGAGCATTGGAGAAAATTCACGTTGAACACATTTTATGATTGCGAGTTATTTTTTTAGGGAGTCTCAATAAATCACATTTCTTACACCGTATAATTAGTCGACCCTTTCACTCAGACTGGCAGACACCTTTGTTCTGTAGGTGGTGAAGTCGCTCCTGTTATACTCTGCACCACAAGGGTGACCAATAAAATAAATTAGAATTATAAATACTTGGACTACAGCGGTGACCATTTAGGTAATGATCCCTACTCTGCCTACATTTACATTTTCACACCCATCCAAAAGACGAATCAGACTGGTATATGTACATGTACAGATCGGTCGATCGGCGCAGATCTTAAAACAGATCTTATCTACTTCTACAAAGGTCTGAAAGTCAGCTGCTCTGTAGTAAAAAAGCGGACTGACTGACAGACCCGCGTACCAGGTGTGCACGTGTCCACACGTCAACAATAGGCTCCAGGAGCACAGATAAGTGATGATGTCGTCAGCGTAGAAGGAGCTCTGTCAGGGTTAGTGGTTGAACAGCTGCCAGGTTCTGTGTTGTAACGCTGTGTTCCACATATCATGTTGTTCACTGACGTGTGTCTTGTGTTCAGTGAGTGAGTGAGCAAGGGAGAGAGAGAGAGGGAGTTTGGAGGGTAAACGTGAGTTGTGGCTGTGACATCAGTTTGGTTAGGAGAAAGTTTAAAGGCAAAAAGTTTAAACACCGTGTCTTAAGACGAACCTGAGTCATCAACAAAAGACAGAACAACAGCAGTTCTGCTGGTATCGACTGTGTGTTTACTGTTTGATCTGGGATGGAAAGGTTCCTAACCCAACTTCATGGTTTTTATTTGGTTTACCGACTGGAATTTATTAAATATATTTTTTTAAATTGAACACATACTGTATATCAGATTTCTGTATTGTGACAGTACACTAAAAAGAAGGCAAATATATTTTAGTATATTATTTTTCATCATACTGCTGCTAGATTTTTTTACATTTTATAAATAAATATATATAGTATATATTCTATTTTATATTTTTAAAGAATGTTGTTGTTTTAAAGTTGTTGAACTGAGCTGTGTGAAATGTTTCATAATTAGTTATAAAAATAATAATTTTGGGATCACCTTTTTATTTGTAAATGCTCTCAATTGAAAATAATCGTTTGGGCAAGTCACAATCGGAAATTTGCAGTTGGTGCACCTCTTTATATACTGTATATATATATGTCTAATTGCCCAGTTTGAGGAACTAAATGAATTTTGCAGCAAACGTTTAATGAAATTCCACACTTATTTTAAAAGCGTATTATTATCAGCCCATCTCTCGGATTCATATTTCCGTAGAGTTTGAAACACAGGGTTTCAGCAGATTTTAACATAATCGCCGTATGTAGACAATATATTAATATTTTCCAACCTTTTCTTGGACTCCCCTCTGTGATCTCCATGGTCACAGACACCGGAGCTGTAATTGGCCGTGCTGTTCTTACCTGTCAACATGATGGATGGCAGTCGGGTTTTGTCGTCATTGTTTGATGCACTGTCAACGATGGGTTATGTCAGGGTGGGATGACCCTGATCAGACTACAAAGCTAATTTTTGAACCGTCTCTGAACTTCTTTTTACGTCAGTAGATGATGGAAAAAAAATATTTATTTAATTAATTCAGTAAAATAACTGTAGAAAAAAGTAGAATTATGGTTGTTGGTGTAGTGCTCGGACCATCTATTTGTGCTGATGTTAAATGTTGAACATGGATCAAAACGTTTCTCTAATTTTGGCTTTTCTTTTTTTGTCGACAGGAAGAATCCTGGACCTGAAGACAGGAACGGTGAAGAAGGAGGGACAGCAGTCCTCCATGAGGATGTGCATGGGCTCTCGACGCTCCTTCATCTGCCGCATGAGGTCTGTGTGTGTGTGTATACGTGTATTCTCTTTAACCCATCTAGTACTGACACTTGTACTCCAGGTTAGAGTGGCTACTTTATATTTTTATATTATAGTCATCTTTTTATTCTCTCAAATATAAAATCCTCTCTGTTTTGGTTCTGACCAAACCAGAGAAGGTCATTCATTCTTTTCTAGAGGTGCAATGATGCATTTAGACTTATCAGAATAATCACATGCTGTGACACTCTTGGCTTTTCACAGGAGTGAATTGTGTCACGCTGAGGTCTGGATGAAATGCTGTCGTAATTGTTAACGTGTTGCGTTAGTTTTATTTTATGATTTTCTCTCCTAAAACGGTGTTAGCTTCTGTTTAGCTTTAGCCAGATGTTACCAGTGTACTCCGGAGATACTGCGTTCTCCTCAGCAGTGTTAATCATGCGTCATTGTGCTGGTAATAGAGTTGAAGAATTAATTTGTGAAGTGAATGAGGCAGCGTTAAAGCGGAGCTCGTGGACAAAGAACAGCTCTTCTCACAAAAGGTCACCCCTAGTTGGTAGTTGTACACGAGCACCCGTTGACGTGCAGGCACACAGTTGTCGTGCACATTGTTCACCAGTGGGTGTTCACGCAATATGACAAGCACTCTGCAGCCTGTGGGGTGCAAAGTGACAGGCATTATACGTATTGTGTGGCAGGTTCCTTTGTTTTAGGACGAGCAGCGAGGAGCCCCCTGCTGGGCCGGGTCTAATTAGCCCCACGGACGCTTTTACAACGGTGGTTCACATTTGATGGATTGGGCCGCTCGGGCTATTAATTATAGGATGTAGGCTGATGCAGGGTGAGTCAGACAGAGGAGGAAACAAGCTGGAAGACACAGAGGGAGAGAGTGTAGGGGTGAGCAACAGAGCTGACGTCCAGACTTCAGAACACCTGCAGGAACATGATTGGATATCTGGACCGACATAGATAAGGACACTGATCTACACACACAGGTTGAATCAGCATGCTGGAGTGAAGGGTGTGAGGTAGTACATGTGTAATACACGTGTAATACATGTGTAGTAAACGTGGTGATGAAATTTCCAGAATTTACCTTTTTTTGATTCTTAGGAAAGATTAGTGATCCTTCCAGCTGTAGAGGAGAGTACATTTAAATACTACGTTACTACTTCTCTAATAGCATGTTAAGGCTACTGCGTTTATATATACATATATACAACAGAAAAATCACATTTTATCAAATAATAAAGTGTTACAGCAGGTGGCTGTAACGTTGGTTGTGACCCGCTATTAAACCTAGACTTGAGGTCTCCAAGTAGCCTATGTGACATTCAGGTGTTGAAACAGAACGTGGGAAGAACTTGTTCCACAGACACCAACAGTGTTTTCCAGTGTCCCTGTGAAGAAAGGAACTCTTTCCAGTTTCTGTTTTTTCTATTATTTTGTTGTTTCATATATTGACAGTTCAGGTCAGTCAGACCAGTTTGACTTTTAATCAGAGCAGATCAATGGTGATGTGCGGTGTTTCTGGAAAGAAATGTGACTTTTTTTCTATTGTGTTATTGGTATCAGAGCAGATCAATGGTGATGTGCAGTGTTTCTGGAAAGGGGTTCACAGACCATTTCAGTTGATGATGGGACTTTACAGAGTTCTGACAAAGAAAGCATCAGTGGATTTGGTCAGAATTTGTCTGGATCTCATTTTGTTTGAAAAATAAATTGTGATAAAATAAGTATTGTTAACAAAAAAATGTGTATATTATCGTGAGTTATGTCCCTATTAGAAAATACACTTGAACAATAAAACTATAAACAACAACAAACAGCCTTTTAATAACAATAAGCCTAATAAGAACTACATCAAACTTCAGACCAAAAAATGAACCAGAGAACGATCGTCTGTCGCTGCTATGCTAATGTCTGCTGTCTCTCATGTTTCCACCTGTTGTTCTACCTGCTCTGTCACACACTGAAGTCATTTCTGGTCTTCATAGAACGGCACTTTAAATAAAGATGAATCTGGTCGTTAGCATAATCAACAGCAATTTCCTCCTGATCTTTGCTCGTGTCGGTGCCAATCGGTGCCTAATCTTTGGGAGCTGCCTGACTTATTTTCTTTTTCTGGATCAGTCATAAAAGTCAAGAGTCGCACGAGAGCTGCGCTCCGGCTGTTGAAGAAGAATTTGTCAGAGTGGCGCGTTCTTCTGTCCTGTTGCTATTCCAGGCCCTGCGTAATTCGATCAACATGCAGCTGGGACGGACTCAGAGACCCGGCGAGCAGGGGTGAAACACGACCACTTCTGTGACACGTTCATAAACATTGTCTGAGTGGAACGCAGTGGGACCAGCGGGCTAACGTTTCGGGGAAGCCGTGATTAGATCCAGACCCACTTATGCAACGTTGAGCCACAGGGACGGCCTGGAAAACAAAAGACAAATACCTGTAGACTGTGTACTACTGACCTGGAGTGAACTACCCTCAGTCGGTTCAAGGTCCCGGTGGTAGTTATCACAGTGACAGTGTTACAGTAACAGTTTGAGGAGAGGAGTTAAAAAGGCAGTTTTATTGGAGATAAAGTTTTGAGTTAAAGTAAAGTTAAAATAAAGGTAAAATGAGTTGTTATTGCCCCACCAACTGGACAGAAATGGAACTTTTTATCAGTTCCTTTCACTGTATGTTAAATGTTTTTATAGAACATTTATATTTTAATTTATTTTGGCCTCATGTTTAACTAACTTCCCCATGGCATACATTTTTATAGTTTAGGTTTTCTTTAGGTTTTAGTTTAGGTTTTAGGTTACTTCAGTTTGGCTGAAGTAAAAGTTGTCATATTTCCTCCTTATTTTCACCTATAATCTGTTGTTCATATATATGATATAATGTTTATTAACTTCCTCTCTAGACTTTTACTGATCTTTGGTTTCTGATTATTCTGGTGACACCAAGCATTCTCTTCAACTAACCACTAACGACAAGGTTGTCGACTTTTGAAACCACTCAAGTAAATAAAAGCCTTTAGCTCACATGAAAAGCCTGGTTAGCTTAGCAGCCAAGGAGATGGATTGTCACATTAGGCTAACGAGACGTTGACAAGTTTTATTTTGTTCTGTTTTTAACTCTCTGTCTCTCCTCAGCATCTTGTGGTTCAGTGTCTCACTTGATCCATAGTGTAGCAGTTAGCGCACCTGCCTTTCAAGCAGAGAGTCCTGGGTTTGATTCCTAGAGGAGCCACGTACTTGAGGGCAGCTCCAGGGGGCAGCCTGTTGCAGCAGATCTGCTTATTATTGTTATTATAATCCTATCTCTGCTTAAATAAAGACAGTCAGAACCTTAATAATCTGCTCCTCATGTGCGTCATGTGTCGTGTGCTTCATGTCTGCAGATGCGGCAGTGCTCCTCTGGATCACATCTCCCTCAACCGTCTGTCCAACATGAGGAAGAGATACAGGTACTGCAGCTGTTTCTCCTGAAACCGTCAGCCTTCATAAACGAACACAGTATATTTGAGGTTTTTTCCCCTCCAGTTTATTCATCACATGCAGAGAAAAATGTTGTGTTGATCAGTGGTTCCCTTGTTGTCTTTTCTGTCTTCTGTTGACACCAACTGTGAATTCAGTTGAAAAACTGATTCATAAAGAAAACAGGAAGTGGAACTTTAACCAATTTGCCTTGTGTCCCAACGCTGTGATAGCGTTGTGCCCTCTGGGGTGCCCCACCTTTTACTTTGGGAACCATGTCATTAGGTTTACCATCAACGTTTTCCCCACAGTCTGTGTAAATAACTAATGTATTAGAGCAACACTGATCTGTGTTGCTGTGATGGCGTCCAAACCTTTTCATTATGACGTCATTATTATATCGTCTGTCTGCGTCAGCAGCCTGATGTGATGTGGTTCTGTGTGTCTGTGTCTGATGGACAGGAACGGACTTGGACCGTCCAAAGAAGGAGAAGCCCAGTACTCTGTGGTCCACTGCACCGGCTACATCAAAGCCTGGCCCCCCGCAGGTCGGTACACATCCTCTTCCTACTTTACCTAAACTTCACCTCCCAGCAGCAGCCTCCCTGCCCAGAATAAGTGTGGCCCGGTCTGACCTAACGCAGCAGTGGGCCCTGCACAGGCTCCAGACCAGGACCTGGAGTCAACTTCTGATCCACAACAGTTTGTGTGGTTTTGTGTCCCGCTGAGTGTGTGTTTGTGTCTTTGGAAGTGGTGGGAAAAATATGTGCACACTTCGCTCTTTTGTCATGGAGAGCAGCTGTGGTCAGCCAGAATCCACAGACCGGTCCAACACCAACAGTGGTCCATGTGTCATCGTGGTCTCACCTGCAACAACACGACACGTTCTGTAACCTGACATGACGATCAGACCTACATTTCTCACCTAATAAAATAAGCTGTGTTTGTTTTTGACTTCAGCAGTTGGAGGTCATGGGGGGGGGTCAACAGTTTGAGTATATTGAGTATATTTCATCTCACTGTTGGTTTGACTTTGACTCATTCCTTCCTGTTTTTGTTTTCTGAACACAAAGCCTCAGATGCCCTGGTAGGCTGCAGTACGCACACGCACACACACAAACACACAGTGCCGTGTTTATAGTCACGGGGATTGGAATGCAGCCCCAGGTTCAAACCAGGTGCGTACATTACTGTTTGTTGGTACAGAGCAGGACCCAGTGACACACAGCCAGATCTCCTCTTTGAGGTCATGTTGGAATAATGTTATTACACAACAAAACACACACTGATCTCACAAGTGTTTGGGAATTACTGACATGAGTATCACTTCCTGACACTAAAAATATTTTTGTGGAATATGAGAGATCAAAATCTGCTGATGGACGGGAAAAAAAGAAAAAGGCAGTCCACGACCACGTTGTCTTCCTCCGTGGTAAACGTGGATGATAAGACGAGGTGGCGTCGGCCCAAACCCATAACTTAAACTGTTGTTAAAGTGAAAAGTCTCACTCCGTCCAGTGGAGGCTCATCTTTTTCAGATGTGCAGCTCACTGCCACGGACGGCTGTGGAGGAATGTCTGCAAAATAAAATGTGTATTAACGCCATCAGAAGTGCAGCCAGTTGAATGTGCATGTGAATACATGTGATGTTTTTCCACCGTGGACTTTGGACGGCCTGTAAATGTTCTGAAGTCGTCCAGACGGTTGTCCAGGGGTTACTCAGGTCGTCGTCAGATTATTACAGACGAGGTCGTAGCACGGCGCAGCAGTCAGTCCCAGCTGAGATTCTGTGTGGGGCAGAGAACACACACGCAAGATTTTAGTATGATTTGTCAAAGGAATAAATCAGCTGTGAAACCAAAAGTAGCTAACATTAGCTCTGTTGTCGGTACCAGGTCTGTTGTAGCTAATATTAGCTATGGTGTCTGTAGCAGAACTGTTGTAGCTAATGTAAGCTGTGCTGTCTTTATGTGATAATTTGCGCTTCACAACGATCTTGTCCAGTTTTTTTTTATGATCAAGCCTAGCTGGTCGTCCATCATTGTTCACTTACATTTATTAGACACTCGAAGAATCAATGCGTCCTCTTCATCTTCTTTATGGATGGCAAACAAACCTTTGGTGCATTACTGACACCTACTGGGCTGCATGGTGTCCCAGCGTGTCAAAAGTTAGTGGACCGAGGAAGCAGCAATGGAAAAGAATCTTTACAAGTTTTTGTAGAACGGGGGACCAGACTTTTTGGATCCAGGGTAATATGACCTTGGACTTTGTTCTTTTTGACGAGCTGTAGCTTTTTCCCATCGTTCCATTCGCCTCTCAGATCTTCAGTTATTTGAAGCTGATGTTCACCATGTTCCTTTTACTAATTCAACACCTTCAGTGTGATCTTTCTCTGGTGAATATTATTCCACTACATTTGTCTTGCCGTAAAACCAATATCTAATGTTGTGTTGAAAAAACCAAGATAGATCCTGAAAAGAGGATTCGGGGGGATGCAGATTTGAAGTGGAAATATCACCTTGGTATGTACTGCACCTTAGGGGCATGTTGGACTTCAACTGAAATAATTAGCATATTTTAGAAGAGAAAAAAAATAGTGATTGGAGCCAAAATATCTTCTCTGCTCTGGCACAAAATTGAGCGTGAACTGCCAGAGTGAGGTTTTGGGTTTCAGGTCAGTGAGTCGTCGTGAATTCCAGTCTACACAACAAACGGTCATGTGACTCCGTGTCTCTGTAGTCACAAGTTCACCCTCCATGAGGGAGCAGTAGAGGTGCGTCAGAGGTCACCGAGCCTCCAACATGACTGTCAGGGTGATATAATGAATCAGCAGAACACCAAAGAGTCCGCTCCATGTCTGTGGTTTCTGGGGACAACGGCATCTTTCGTAGGAACATAAAGCAAATGTTGGGTGACTCCTTAAATGTTGTGGGTTTTTTTAGTTTTAGTTTTTTTTTTATCACAAAGATTAAATGCAGTCTTGCGTCACATAAAGTCTTCTCTGGCTCAGACAATCGGTTGCTGCCTCATCAAATGTCAACAACGTAGTCCATGCAACATAGCCTTGCGTGTCTTTCTCTGAAGTATTTCGTAATCTAAGTTCTAATGTAAAACCCCGTGTTTGGTTCTGGAATGCTAATCTTTTAGCCTCTTTCTGTGGAAAAGATAAAAATGGAGACATGGGGTGAGGGAGTGAAGCGTGTCTCATGTTCTGGTTAATGTTCCTGTGAAAACGCAGACTCAGTTGCTGATATCTCGTCCTGCTGCCGATGCTCGATGGTGAAAAGTTGTAAATCACTGGAGGGGAGCAGCAGCAGTGTCAGTTAGTAAATTACCTCTCACTGCTGAAAAATTCAAGCGGCAATTTGATAAATAAGTGTTTACGCTGTGGAAGGAACTGTGTCGACTACACCCACCACCACCACCACCACCTCACACCCTTTTCTCCCTCTTGTCATTTTCTCAGGAATGACCATACCTGAAGAAGACACCGAGGCCGGACAGACGGGAAAGTACTGCTTAGTTGCTATTGGACGACTCCAGGTATGTGTGTGTTTTAATACGTGCTTGTGTTCGTGACTACGGGATGTCGCTCAAAGTTAGGTTGAGAATTTGGGCTTTGGTATTGGATCGGATGCTTGATTTTTTTTACGATGTTCGATCTTGAAATTTTGACCAATAGTGGACCAATACCAATTGGATTGAGCCATCTCTAGTGAAAATTATACAAGTTCTACACCTACAGACCAAAACGTCTGTGGATGGAAACTGAAGTCCCCAGAGTTTTTCTAAAACTAGAACAGCAGCAGTTTTCTGCAGTCTTCTCCAAACTCTTTGTTTCAGATGCTCCGTGTCTCTGGAGCAGAGAGTGTTGTCGAGTCCCGGTTTCTGGAAGACGTACCAGCGTATAGCTCTATATTTGATTTTCACATCACAAACAAGAAACCTCCTCAGACTCCCAGCAGGTGGCAACTCTGTTGTCGCTGCATATTCCCCCGGCTTCACCTTTATGTTTACCCCAGGGGAAGGACAAGATTTGCAAATTTCCGAAATAGTCGTTGGAAGACAAAAATTTATCAGGTTAGGTCAAATTTGGACGACGCTGAGAAGCAGCTCTGTATTCTGTTGGGGGGGGGGGGGGCCGTAAGAACTTGGAAGTCTGTACAAAAAAGGAAAATCATACAGAGTCTGGGGAGGGTGGGCACAGGGAGGGGGTCCTTATCAAAATGCACAACATTCAGAGCTATATCCTGTCAATACAGAACGTCTACAGGAGGAGTTTTTTTTTTAAAGGAATACTACTAAATAAATAATATATATATACTATAAATATGTAAATAGAACCGATAGCAGCAGCAGAGAATGATGGGAAGTTATGTGGTCCTCATTACCAGTGGACTCCAAACATTAATGGCACAGATTGTGTCTGTTTCAGATCAAAACATACATGAACCTGTGAGTGTTGTTGTTGTTCATGTCCTTTTGTGTTTTTCCTTTGAAAATGCAGATGTGTTTTAAGTACATGTAGTTCCAGTAACTGCCTGAAGTAAAAGAGAGTTATATGTGTGAAGTGGGTCAGGGTCTTTGAAGAAGCTTCATCGCCCCCATCTCTCACTCGACCCTTGTTTTAGGTGTTAACACCTCCTGTCTGTCTGTCAGTTTGGACCCTGTTGACAGTCAGTGACAACGTGTGGCTCCTCTGACCTTAGATTTTAAAGGTCACACGTGATGGTGGCTGTGTCACAGTGGGGTCTGAACAACACTGTAAATCTATATATTTACAGTGTGACCACAGTAGGAATATATAAACTTATTAAAATACAAACATATTTGATGGGTGTAAAAAAAAAGTATTCATAATTTCCTCCTAAAGCTGAACTGAAACTACCAATCGTAACAGAAACGTTAAGGAACAAAATTTCCATGAAAAAAAAAAAATTCCAGAACGAAACAGAACTTGTTGGTCTTTTTGGTATTTTCCTCTGCGCTGGACAATGGTGTCCATTTCCTATTAATGGTTTATAAGCAGGCATGACCAAAGGGTTGAGTTTGACCTCAAAGGTCATTTACTAATGACACCATTATTTTTGTACATAATCTGACCTTTTTTAAAGCAGTTTTTTCTTCTGCCTAAGTTTACAGTTTGTAAGTATAAACACATCAGTCTCTCTCTCTCTCTCTCTCTCTCTCTCTCTCTCTCTCTCTCTCTGATTAAGTCTGTCTCTGCTGCTCATTTGTGTCTGTGAAATCACTGGGTTATTTGTCCTTTCAGTGCAGCGTCTCTGTTCTTATCTGCTGTGTTTTATGTTTCTTGTGTTAAAACCTAAGAGAGTAATAGAAAAAAGCAGAGGAAAATCCCTTGTTTGTGCTTTTATTTTGGGCCAGTAAGGCTGACTCTGATCCTGGTTCTGATTTGTGTGCACAAAATTCACTGTTATTGGAAAAAGTCTTAATGAATACACGGTGAAGAAGAAACTTCACATCCCTCCATGGTCGGGCTCCAGAACACGTAAATTAATTGTTAATGGAATATAAACCCAGAAGAGTTCAGAGCTAATGTGGTGAAGGTCACTGATTGCCCCCCCCACATCTTTACCTGAATGTCCCATTTTCTACACGTCGTCACAGGTGACCAGCTCTCCCGTGTCCATGGACATGAACGGCCTGTCGGTGCCCACAGAGTTCCTGTCACGTCACAATTCTGACGGCGTCATCACCTTCGTTGATCCACGCTGTATCAGCGTCATTGGTTATCAGCCTCAGGTAAGCAGAGAGGACTGAAGACACACAAGAAGAACAGACAGAATCAGCCGTGTTTTCATCTTTTACTGAGAGTTAATGCAAAAAACATTGATTTGTTCTTCGTCCTGTTAACATTCACAGCACGCTGCCTGAATCTTTCTTCAGCTTTTCACTCCAGCTATAGTCATCAGGCTCATATATATACATATATCTATATATATATATATATATATATATAGATATAGATATATGTATATATATATATGTGTGTGTGTACATATATATGACATATATATGTACATATATATGACATATATATGTATATGAGCCGATATTGTCCAAACCCCTAATTTCTGATTCTGCTATCAACGGATACCGATATATACAGCACATTTGGCGAAACCCAGCCATTGTGTTTTCAGGTTTTCATTATTGGAGGGAAGTACAAATGTCTGAGCGGAGCCTGTTTAAAATGGTACGGATGTTTTTTCCCTCCACTCCTCAATTAATTCTGCTATCAACGGATACCGATATATGCAGCACATTCTCAACAGGAAATGGACCTAAAATCTCTGATTGAACTCTAAAGGAATCGGTCTTAACAGATCATTTTTAGACGGTGCCTGAACTCTACTTGTTTACTTCCCACAGATCATATTTTTGTTTTTCTGCTGTGCAAACATTTATCTTACTTTTCAAATTAAACGTCTGGCTTTTCATCTACTGTCTCACTTACATCATATCATCGGCAGTTTGTGTTCACCTTTAAAGGAAGGCTCTGCACTCAACACTTAATCACTTTCCCCCGCTAACTCGCATTTAATAGCTTGATGAATGATTCATGTGGAGTCGGAGCTCAGTGTTTCGGGGTGAATTTATCACACGGTGACACCGAGACCTAATGCCTATAAAACACGGCCGCTTTATCTGTCAGCACCGATGGGCTCTTCCTGTCTCTGTGATGCTGGCTGCTCTCAGAGCCCAAGTCAACAGAGGCTTCGTGTTCCATGTTAACGTTCACTGCAAAGTCAAACCAGGGCAGTAAGTGTCCTGCAGGGGCAGTGTTCTGGTTTAAACTCCACCATCTGTGTCTGTTTGTGCTGTTTGTCAGAGTTATTCTAAAGTTTTGAGTTTTTTCATAAACATATTGTCAGTAAACAGTTTTCCAGCACACGTCCATTAAACACCAGCCTGGAGCAGAGAAACAAATTGTTGTGTTTTTGTTCCACGTTGATGATCCCATTACTTCACTAATATTCTTCTTTCTTTCCATAATTATAAAAACTGTTTGGTTCTATTTCTACCTTCTGATTATCTTTTTCAAAATGTTGTAAATTCTTTTTTTATTTTCTCAATCCTTAACCATGACTGTCTTCCAAACTTTCAGGACCTTCTAGGAAAGGACATTCTGGAATTCTGTCATCCCGAGGACCAAAGTCACCTGAGGGAAAGTTTCCAGCAGGTACAGTACCGCTCATTAATGATCGATGGTCCGTCATAATGATGAGTCATCAACCTGTATTAGTGATTGTTACCGTGGTGCGTTTGGGTGCCGACAGTGTCTGTGCTTTAACTGACAGTCACTTAAAAACATTAGCAGCCAAAGCACTGTGTACACAGTAATAAAAATAAAAACAAAATCATCATTATTGAATTATCCAATTTCACTTAATTGGTTTGAATTATTAATTTACTGCTAATTTATCTGTTGTTGCTCAGTGTGACAGTGACAGGCCAAAAATGAAGTACTATATGTAGGACAAAAAACCACGTTCATGTAAATATAAATATATTTTTATATTTTATATATATAATATTATATATATGTACTTATCCAATATATTTTTACAATACATTTATTGTGTAGATAAATAAGATGTCAGTTGTAGTTTTATTGCTATTGCATAGCGCTATTAACATTTCCTTAGTGTTTAGGTTTATAGCGTACATAGGTAAATATATGTACATATATACAACATATATTGGCATATATATTTATATGTAAATATATGCAAATATATATATACACAATATTTGTAGTAGTAGTGTGTGTATATATATATATATGTATATAAATATTTGTGTTTCTAGGCCTCGGTCCCATTTCCCATTTACATCAATGAACTTCCTCACTTCGTCTCCTCTGCTCCTAATCATATTTTTTTTCTAAATGCATGACGTGTTTTCTGGTGTAAATGGTTATGTTTCCAGGACAGCCGTCCACACTGTGATGTCTGTCTCTCTGTGTTCCGTTTCCGTCTAACTCACTCTTTTTACGGCGTTTCTTACTGTAAATCGACCACAGAACTATAGGATTCTTGCGGTCATGTGACCAAAGGAACATGTGGGACCCGTTAATGAAGCCATTCCTGACACAGATATAGGCCATAAGATGAGAGAGGGTGAATGGGGGAGACATTAGGGTCTGGTTAAAGGGACCAGTGCAGTTGCTTTTAGGATCCGGGTAATTACTTTTTTAATGGCGGATCTATTTATCGAGCTCATTCTTTGTGGTTATCTGGTTTATTTGATCCGATCCTGCTGTGTTTTTTACAGCTTCTCTGTTGTTTATCACAAAGACGCCAGTATCTGCCCCGCCTGCCTCTGCAGAGCAGCATCTTTTCCCACAGTGCTGTTTCCCTGAGTGTCATTTTCCCCCTTGTTTTCTCTGACGTTCTGTGTCCTGAGTGGAACCGAGCGCCGTCAGCAGATTACAGGCTTCTCAGAAGACAGTTTGTATGAGTTTATGTTGGACATGTAAAAAAAAAAAACATGAACACAGTCAGGTGGTGGAAGTGTTCCCACTGTTGTTGGCATTTTCAGATCTCTCTCTGTTTGTCTCTCTTCCTCCCCCTGTCTGCCTCCCTGTCTTTTCCTTTTATATCTCCCTCGTCTTTGTCTCTTTTTTTATTTCTATATGCCTGTCCTCATCTTCATGTCTCTTTATGTGCCCTCCTTTCCTCCCCTCTGTATTCTATCTATCCTATAATAGACCAACAACAACATCAACAAACAGTAAATGTTCACTGTAACAAGTTCTTTTAATATTAGCTCTATAAATCTGTGGCTCTTGTTGCAGCGCTGCAGTCTCACTGTCCATGCTGCTGGTGGAGCCACAGAGGCATCGCACCACACTTAGCAGAATGCTAACTGTGTTTTTGTTTCAAGGCCAATCTCCTCATGATCATCCTTTTAGAACAGATCCTGCTCCCCGACCCACCTTGTTCCCAGGCCAGACTAGTTTTACATAATAATCCTGTCAGAAGGATCTGAGTCTGTCCTGAAGTCTCCTCTCAGTGATGAGTGCTCAAAGACTTAAAGCAGGCAGGGATCTGGGCTTTAAACCCAAATCACCTCAGCTGGCTGCTCTGAAGGCAGAGGTTCTTCTCCAAGTTCCCTCTGGATGTTTGAGCTCGGCGCCTTATCTCCACAGCTGAACTCAGATGTGAGAGCAGGAAACTTATTTCAGATTCCTCGAACTTCATTCTGTTAGTTAATATGCACGGTTCGTGACCGTGGGCGTTGAAAGGGTTTGGTTGACGGTTGATAACGACAGGCAGGAGTGAGAGTTACCGTGAATCAGCTGAAGAGGTTTGAGGAGTGCAGTGAGCTGAGGTCACGTGGCCTCACGTGTCTTTGCTTCTCTTTCAACAAAGGAACAAAGGATGAGAGTTTTTTTTTTCTGGTGTCACCTTCACCTGCAGGTTGTGAAGTTGAAGGGACAGGTTCTGTCTGTGATGTACCGTTTCCGGATGAAGAACAGGGAATGGATGCTGATCCGAACCAGCAGCTTCACCTTCCAGAACCCGTACTCCGACGAGATCGAGTACATCATCTGCACCAACACCAACGTCAAGTAGGTTCCCTCACAGAGTGAAAAGTTCATCGCTGATTTTTCTGACTTCTGAGGTCAAACATATGTTTAAACCACCTTTTTTTTTATCCCACTGCTCAACTGTTTCCATGGTGACATGGTGCTGCCCTGAGGTGTGGGTGGAGCATGTGTTGCTAATTAGCATTTAAAAGTAATGACACAGAACATGGCTGATGAACAGGTGGTTTATGTTTTGACCAAAACATGTTTATAACGTTTTATTTTACAGGAGTTGAACCATATTCATTATTAATATTATAATTATTGATTTTATAAAGTAGCCATACATGTTCCCATTAAGCAGAGCAACTTTTAACATTGAACTGACGACATTAACAGAATGATCAGATGAACAGTACAATTATTCAGTGCAGAAAAATGTATGTTTCCACTTCACTGTGTTCTGGTTCCACCCCATGTTTTCTGTTCTCTGTGTGGAGACCCTGCTGCTTCATGAGCAGAGGCAGGAATGATACTGCTGCTCTACAGAACCCTAGAGGACAAAAAAAAACCCAGTACCTCTGCATTCAGGCAGCAGAGGTAGTACTCTGTTACTGCAGTGAGGATGCTGAGTCACTTGTCACGAGTGTTAGAGCAATTACCTGAAGGACCTTTGAGTCTGATTGACCTGCATTCAAGCCTGTAGTTTAAAAACCTCCAAACAAACCCAGAGTGATGACGCCCCCCACCCCCCACCCCACCCTCCTCCAACCCCGATCAACCACAGACCTCAGAGGCAGAGTGTTCTGGGGCTGTGGTTTGCTTCAATCTTGTTCTCTATTGTTTAAAATGCCAAAGCCCTTAATGTTAATGTAGCAGAGTATTTGTGTGGTTAATACTCATCTCAGTTTATACTCAGGGGTCGGCTCGTACAAATAAAGGACGGAATTCCTTTATTTGATTTTAAATATCATCCATAAAATGTCAGCAACTAATTCCATCAGACTGAAGTCATCGGACCACAAGGTAGAAACGATGTCATTACCTTTATTTGACACTAGGGGTTTGTGTGAAGCTGAAGGAATCATCTGTCCATTAACTGTCAGTAGAACTAGGCTGAGGAGACCAGACTCAGTACAGTAGCCTCCGGATACAGAGCGTTTAAACCACCTGTGTCAAACTCGAGGCCTGGGGGCCATATGTGGCCCACCAACTTATTTTCTATGGCCCGCATAGATTTTTTTTGTTTCTTTAAATACACTGAAATGAACTATATTTCTGAACCAAATCTGCTTCTAAACTGAGCCACTGAATAAGTTCTGGTCCCTCTAGTACACATGCCAGGCCTGTTTGTGGCGCTGTATACAACCATGCTCTAACACACTAACAGCAGAAAGAATTTGAACCGGAAGTTTAACATACGTACCACACCAAATAGGTGTGGTACGAAGCCATACTCCACCAACAGGTGAAGGAGCATGGCTTCCGGCGTTGTTATTGTGTGGCGTTGAGCAGGGTTAGCGGTGTAATGGTGACAGAGAGGCGGGGTTGACTGTATCGTCTCACTCTGCTCCGTTCACACAGAGTTGTCAAACCTCTCCACTCTGGGACTCATATACGGTGGTAGACGCTGTTCTCTGCCCCGACACTTCGTCTATGTCTAAACACAAGGTCAAATTGGTGCTACAGTTCAAGGAGCCGTATCGACACTATGGAAACAGGGCCTGTTTGTGGCTGAAATGGGACCCTGTCGTCCCCTGACAAGAGTTAGTTGTTCTAAGACCAGGTTCTATCTGTGTTGTTATCTGGTTTGACCTGGTTTACAAAACACACTCTGTTCTGGTTCATCTGAGAAATCATCACCTTCACAGAGTCAAAACAACACGACTGGTTTATCACTGACTGATTTATGAGTTCATCAACAGAGCTGTTTCCACAGCCTATAATTTCAACCTTTTTTATTTAACTGGAAAAGAATGGGTTTATTTTCCTTCCATCCTCCACTGGTATGAAGGATTTATATTACACTTGCCCCGGGCAAAGCTTTTTTTCAATTAACAACTCAATAGTTCAGAAAATTATCTTGGAAACAGAGACGTTTCGCATTGACGTGAATGAAGCTCCAACGTAGTCATTGAACCCGTGCCGCCTCCTCGCATTCTCTGGCTGCGTCGGTGTTTGATCACTTCACGTGGATTCTTTAAAGAAACAGATTGAGAACAGTGAAGAGGGATCGCCTGAGTCTTTTATGGCGCTGCGGTCTGTGAATGAAATACGACACCACTTGATTTGCCGTATGTACTTTGGCATTGACAGCGTGACAGAAGAGTCTCGCTGCAGATGAAGCAGGTACATGATGCCTTCAGGAGACGGTGAGAGGCTCAGTGAAGGGGTAAAAGTAAAGACCTTCAGCAAAGACAGAGTACTAACTGATAAGAATTTGTCCTGTCAGCCTGTCGTTACCTGTCAGCGTAAAAAATGTTTTGCCTGCCGGATTACGTGCGAGCTCCAGGAGAAAAGGAAAAGGAAAAAGAGGAGACTGAGAAGTGTCCTAGGGGAAGGTGTTACAGTGTGAATTTACCAGTTCATATTCAGCTCTACATCAATATCACTTATGGAGTCAGTTCCTTATCAAATTAATTTTTTTGATCAATTTGATTCTTTATCGATTCTCATTGGATTAGGAAAAAATATATTAATGGCTGTTGTTGCATTTTTGTTAACAGTTACTTGTTATCGTTTAAATTTTAGAATGTATTTTAATTAATTTTTAATGACATTTTTGATGAAAATTAAACAGCAAATAAAAACGAACGATGCCCTTGCAAAATAAAAGAATTTATTTTATTTTTTATTTTTTTCCCCAAAGGTGTTTGAGAGAAACCTGCAGCTAACTCTTAGCCAGGCAGACTTTTCCTTGTTTTTTTGATGAAGTTTAGTTGGACGATTTAGTACAGTATAGTTTAAGCAGTCTGACACATAGATGGCGCTAAAATTAACCGATTAAAAGGACATAACCTGGATGACTTTCACATTACCCAGGATATTTAGGACAGAAAAGAATGCTGCGTGGTCACCTCTGCTCTGAGCGTCAGCAGTAACATTGATGGGCTCATATGTGAGTATCAATGTGAGTTCTCCAAACCTACTAGAACAGAGTTATAACCTGCAGACTGTAGACCCCACAGACCCTGAACAATGGAGGCAACAACCTCTGAGCCTCACAGGTGCCCCGGGCCTGTCATCGTGTTGAGCCACTCATGTCTTGTCATTCCTGCGTGTGCTCTGCGCTGACAGCGTCACTTAAGAACTGCCGTGAGCTCAGCCAATTACCAGAGTAAACATACAGCTAATAGCTCTCAGTCACGTGTGCATGTGATATCGCTGCCATGAATCTCTGCCAACAGTTCCCCGAGGCTGCGGTGGCACCGTACATGTGGTGGATTTATGATGTTGTAGTAAAAAAAAAAAAATCTCATTCATCAGAAAAACAACATAGTTTAAGAGCAGATGGTTTTTCTACATGTCCAGGCAGCATCATTAATACCTGAATGTGTGTGTGTGCGTGTGCACAGTTTGTGGTGTGTTTTTAGTCCTAGCACGAAAGTTTTTTTTTTTTTTACTGCAGCATCAGCACAAGCTGAATATCAATATGGTTCACACACAGTGAGAACACCTGCGTGTGTGTGTGTGTTCAGGTTCTGTGTGTTTGAACAGCCTCCATGTCCACAGTGATGGTGTCCTCCGGTTATATTCAGTGCATTTGACAGAGTGAGACGGGATTGAGACAGAGTCACCACTCTCTCTTCACCACATTTACGGCTCCTATGACAAATCCAGCCTGTTTCGTAAATCAGCAGCTTTGATGCAGGTGATTCTCTGTGAACCAGACTCTGTCAAACATAACAAATCAAATCAAAATTGAGCAAAACACATGAATACCAATCTGTGGTGTCCAGCAGCTGAAGGAGACGAAGAAGAATGACCTTTATTTTATCCTAGTTTCCTGTTGGCGTCGCATCTGAACATCGTTTTAATATGGACCCGGTCTTGACTTTGAGCTTCTTCTTGTCACATATCGTCTGTCTGGGATGTTGTGAGAGCCGTCAATCAAAGCCTTCTGTGGCGGAATAAATGAACGGATCTGATGGATGAGAGTCTGCCGAGGGACGTGTTTGTACTGAGCAACCAGCATGAACATCAACATAATTCTCACATTAAGTCAAAACACACAGTTTAGAAAATGACCGTCTTTGAATTCCACCGACGAGACATCTTCCGACATATTAATTATATTACGGTATATTATACAGGTGAAGCCACGAGGTCTGATTTAGCTGGAGTGAAGGGTATGACAACAAACAACTGTTTTTTTTTTCCAGAAAGCTGATTTTAATTAAATGATCAAAAAACCCGGTGTCACTGTACTGGTGTCTTGTCGTGGCTGTGACTAAATTTACAAGAAAAGCAACAGTGTGTGTCGCTTCTCGCTTCATGCATTGAGAGGTGCTGACAGTGTGTGTGTGGTTTGTCGTGTTCTGCAGGCAGTTGCAGCAGCAGCAGCAGGCAGAGCTGGAGGTTCACCAGAGAGATGGACTGACGGCCTACGATCTGTCCCAGGTAATGGACTTACTCCTAAAGGTTGTTTTTCCATGTTGTTTATTATGTTTAAAGATCAATAAAACTATTACTAGATGTTACGATGATGATGAGTGTAAATGGAGTAGGGTTAGGACTTTAAGACGCTCTTGGCTTGGTCCTGCTTCACGTGGCTCACGTCTTTGTTTTTAGAGCTCTCAAATGGCAAAAATAAAAAGGTTATGGATTGACCTAACGACCTTCTGGTTCCTTTCCCTCAGGTCCCTGTGTCCAATGTTAGCAGCGGCGTACACGAGGCGGGGAAGAACATTGACAAGACAGAAGCCCTGTTCTCTCAGGAGAGAGACCCACGCTTCGCTGAGATGTACACCGGCATCTCCGGCTGTACGAGCGGCAAGAACACACATACATCAACAATCACCTCAGACTCATGACCTGGTAGTTGCAGTACTAAAACTGGGCCCTGATGGCTGCGTGTGTGTGTGTGTGTGTGTGTGTATTTACAGCTGGAGATAAGAAGATGATGGTTCCCTCCTCCACTGCTGGTGGACAGCAGCTCTACTCCCAAACTTCCCCTTTCCAGCAGGGACACTCTGGCAAAAGCTTCAGGTATGTGCTGGTGATGTGTGAGAACAATGTGTCTCTCTTCCAAGAAGAAACGTCTGCGGAATGTCTTCAGGACAAAATAAGTATTCCAAAAAAACCGGCTGAGCTGAGGATCGGGTCCAGACCTAAAATATTTACGATTAACCGTCTCTTGGTTAAAGAGCATAAAAATAAATAGCTAACTAATAAATAATGGGATAAAACCAGGTTTGGTCTGTTATTGAATTCATCCAGAGCTGATTTTAATTTATTTTTTTATTTAGTTTAATACCAGCGGTGTTATCTGTCACGCACACGTCTATTGCGCCTGTGTGTGTGTGTGTGTGTGTGCTTACTGCTACATTTCTGTGCTCACAGTTCGTCCGTCATCCACGTGCCTGGTGTTAACGACATCCAGCCGTCGGGTTCGTCCAATCAAAATCTGGCTCAGATTTCCAGGCAGCTCAATGCGGGTCAAGTGGCATGGTCAGGCAACCGCCCCCCCTTCTCTGGACAGGTAACACAACAACACACACACACACATACACAAATGTAAATGCTGTTTCCTGTTGATAAGATTCTTACATCAGTCACACAGTCCTGGTTCTCCACGGGTCCAAACTCATCTTCTCTGCTCCTCCTGTTTCCATCTCCACTCTCTGCTGACCGTGGACAGATGCCACGCTTGGTGTGTGTGTGTGAGCACACATGCCTGCATATGTCAGTGTGTGTGTTTTTATCCTGGTACAGCTATACTTAATACAGCTGTAATTTTTCTTTGTCTCAGTAAATATATCTGTACATTGACATATTCACAGCCTGGTCTTTAAACTGCCCTGAACAGAAACCTGCTGTTGTCGTTAAACAAAGAATATAACATTTCAAATGACTGCACGCTTTTTTATCGACTTCAAAATATTGAAATTGAAATGAATATGCCCTGCTGCGTGGCCCCCACATTAGTTTTTTTCCCCCAATGTGGGCCTGCTCCCAACTTTAGGATGATACTAAGGGGCCAGGGAAGGCATTGTGTGACAGAGACGGGGGGGAGGAGGGCAGGGGGGGTTGAGTGTAGGCGGTGCTGGCCAGAGAGGATGAGACCAGATTGAGGACATAATTGACGCCCATCCATCTGTCTGCTCCACACACAGACTGCAGTAACATCTGTAAATGTGAAAGCATCTCCTAAATGTTCCTGTGGTTCTGGTCCCTGAAGTCAGATTCTGGTCTTTTCTAACAGAACCTCATTTAAACCCATCACCAACTGAGACTCTCGGATCACTTTACGACGTGGAAACTTATTTATGGGCCAGGCCCAGTTTATATTGGTCACTTGAGCCACTTTATTTGAACCCACGTTCAGTTATGACACGGGGTTGGTGATACTTGTGTCGACCAGGCCTGTGAGCTCCATCTGGGCCACAGCTTCAGCCACAGTGGCCTGAAAATCTGAGCCAATTCCAACACTGTGGAACTGCCGTCAGTCAACGTTGACTGTTTGTCCACTGAACAGTCAACGTTCTGATTTTTCTGATTCTGCTTTGTACAAATATCACCAAGCTAACAGTCGACCACAGATGTCACTCACTAACAGAAATAAAAACAAAAAGGTTGTACTTTTAAAACAACTCTTGAGTTGAGCTGAGCTTCAACAGTGTTTAATACATTTCAATGAAGAACTCTTAGCTTACTTTAATTTAATGAAATGAAAAGTAAAACGGTTGACAGTTTGTTTCGTCCCCAATCGTTTGGTCCAGTTACGTGCAGCATCTTCTCTTTAATATTTGTCTATATTAAAGTTTTTAATTGGTCAGCAGAGTAAGATTAGGATTATTAGTGGCTGATGTAAAAAGTCATACTTGAAAACTGCCTGCTTGTAGTAGAACCAGAACCAAAGAAAAACAATCCAGGTCCATTATTACACTGTGGCAGAACCAATCAGACGACGGCTCCACAGCCTGGATAGTTAAACCCAGAATGGCATTAATCTTAGAAGTCATTTTTTATTGTCCTTGTCCTGTTTCGTACACTTCGAGACACTAAAGAATTGACATGAACTGTTGTCACATCAAAGGTCTGGTTCAAAGAGCTCCTTTGTTCACTGTGTATTTACTCTGCCTTTACATGACGACCTCCAGTCCAGCAAAGCCCAGTCCAGTCCTTTTGGAATCGGTTCCGGACACAGCTATCAGACGGACCCGGCCTCCTACAGTCCCCTGTCATCGCCGGCCACTTCCTCTCCGAGCGGCAACGCGTACTCAGGACTGACGAACCGCAGCACAACATTTGGTGAGCGCCTGTGGCCGTCGTCGTCATCATCATGAGTGATGTGGTGTACGGTGGCACTTCATTATCATTAAGGTTTGATTTATCTGAGCACTGAGTACTGTTTGAATACAAAAGCACATCAGTGTGTCATGGAAGAAGACGAAACAGTGTCCACTTTACTGTCCAACAGAGACACCAAACGCTAGTGTTCCTGTTTTTATTCCCATAAATTCATCTATTGATTCTTGTTGTGTAATAATTGGTGAATGACCCGTTAACCCAAAGAGTAAAACATGTGAAATTATATATTTTAATTTGCATTAAGTCGCACCTGAGTACAAGTCACAAACTCAGCCAAAGGATGAAATAAAAAGTGCGGCGTTTGGAAAATACGGTACTCTCAGCCAAAGGATGAAATAAAAAGTGCGACTTTGCGTTTGGAAAATACGGTACTTGTCATTATGACTCAGGACACAACCAAATGTGATCTGTGCTTTTAACTCAGCAGGGGGCAGCTTAGGCTTTGGTCTCCATCCTTTGTATGCAAAGCTGCAGAACTTTTCTCTTTCTCTCTCTATTTGTTTTTTCCATCAAATGAGTTGATTTTCTTCACGGTCGTTAAGGTTGAAGTGAAACTCCTGCAGTGGCTTTATAGTCTAAAATTATTGGCCAGAAACTCTGATCAGATTTCCATTCCTCGCACCAGTGAGTGTTGGACAGTGGAGGAATAACAGTTTTTTTTTTTTTTCCGGTTCCGTCAGTGATGGCTCATTAGCCACCTGCTCTGGACTTTTACTGTTCGTCGTTCACTTAACTTTAAGAACAAAGCATGTCCACTTAGCAGCTAGTTGATGGCCTTTTAATGGAAACACTCATTAGCCAAATGGATTACCTTTCTTTTCTCTCCTCCGCCTCTTTTATTCGTCCTGTGTTTCCTCGTTTTTACTTCTGGGTTGAGTTGTTTATGCATCAAACAGTTCTGAAGCTTGAAGTCAAATAAAGCTGGTACTGTTCACTCACTCCGCCGTTGTTGATGTTCTCGTCGTTGTTGTGTTTTCTCTCTCACGATAAGCTGTTGTTCTCCCTTATCTCCTTTCCCTTCCACTCCATGTAAACACGGCCGTCCCTCTCTCTCTGTTTGGTTAATTGCCTTTTCATCTGCGTCTCCTCGCTCCAAAATTCTCCTCTTGTCTTTGGAGATGGAGTTGGAGATGTGTTTTTGTTTATTACTGTGTGCCAGTGGGAGGGTTCATCTGAGAAGACGGACCGGGAATCAATCTGCTCTCCTTTAATGGACTTTGAAGACAGCCAACGTATGTGTGTTGGTGGAACGTTCTCCAGAGAAACGGATCAAAAGAACCGCAATTAAATACAAATGCCGTCGAAGACAACATGATTAGCGTCCTACGAACGTGTATTTTGTTAAAGAAAAGTGTTCAGTTCTGTGTAAACAAAGCTACATTTTGTGTATCACAGCTCCACGAGAAAAAGAAAACGATTTAGGGCGGTTTCTGATGGATTTAGGAAATGTTGGTGGTAGCCATTAGCATACCTGACTAGGAAACAGAGAGCGGGAAGTCCTGGGTTTGAGGAACCACAGATGTTACAGGCCTCGTTGGCGGAGTATGCAGCGCGTCAGTCTCATACTCTGAAGGTCAAGAGGTCGAGAGTTCGAGCCTCACACAGGTATTTTAATTGGTTCTATAGTGTAGCGGTTAGCACGTCTACCTCTGAAGTAGAGACTTTCATCTTCTGTCTATGGAATATTGAGTGGTTTGTTTTTTATCAGCACTAGAGGCAAAAGTACATGTTCACTACTTCAGTTTTTCATATCTTCTTTAGCACGTGTCCTACCCGAGTCCGCTCCAACTGCCGGGTCACTCCTCCAACCCCCGAGTGGTACCGATGCTTGTGCTGAGTAATGTTGTTCTGCTGCAGCAGCTGGGGCTCTGGCACAGTTCCAGTCACTGGTCCTCCATCTCCTGGATCAGTGTGACGTTGTGAAACGGTGTATCTGCTTCCACACTCGTACTCGGCCGCTCTGACTCTTGGCCCACACCGACGTGGGCTGCTCTGTGTTGAAAGGGGAGTTTGTCATACCAGGATGTCAGGATGATGATAACTGGCCTGTCAGTCCGACCATGTGATCGCCTCCCACCCGTACGACCGCGTGATAAACGTTAGCTAACAGATGAGGCTCGACTCCCTCGCGGTAATCTGTTTATCTCTCAGGACCTGATGGGTGACGACCAGGTTAATGTGTTTGGTGATAGAAGAGTGAAAGGAACCCTCCGGGCTGACGGCACGTGGAAGGAACTGTTTGACTTCCAGACATCGGTACCTCTGCCAACACGTGGACGTTTTATCTGTCGTTTTCTTGGCACTTTGTCAGAAGTCGTGTCTAATGTGTAAAATCATCACTTTAATAGTTTTAAAAGCAATCCAGGTGCTGGGACGCTCGGGATTTTAACTCTCTACAACAACATGTCAGTCAACAGTGTAGTACTGTGATGGGTGAACAGTGGTACCGCACACCTCAGGGTAAGATCAGGAAGCTGTGGTTGCAAATTAAAGATAGATAGATAGAACTTTATTAATCCATCGACAGTTCTCTTTGGGTAATCAATTAGGATTATTCCTGATTAATCCACAGTCATCTCGTGATGACTCAGACTGAAACTGGTTTTCCTGTAACTCAGGTGAGAGCGTTGTGTAGACAGCGTCTCTCTGACCGTTCACGTGTGTGCTGCTGTTTCCAGATGTGTCAGGAGAGGGCAGTCAGAGTGGAGCCCAGTTCCAGGGTCGTCCCAGCGAGGTGTGGTCCCAGTGGCAGAACCAACATCACTCCCAGCAGCCCGGGGAACAGCACTCACACACCAACCCCAGCCAGACACAGAGGTCTTCCAGGTAAAACACACATACATACCTGTATACGCTGTAGCTGTGGTCAAGCTAGTACTTCCTTCACCCAGATACCATGTGACCAAACAGGTAGAACCGGCACACCTGTGTCAACAGTTCCTCTCTGCAGTTGTTGGCTTGAGCGTCACACAGTACCAGGAACTAAGACTAAATGGTTCTTGTCCTCCATGAACCTGAATGATTAAGGGTTCTGAAAAATGTGTTTTTCTGAAAGTTTCTTAACAGAGGAGTGTTTTGTTTTTGTTGAACGGGGAGTGTGTGGAGGCCTTTTATTGACTTTTGTTCTGAAGGAGTGGAGCTGACGCTAAAAAACATTCTCCGTCTTTACACTCACTCAGTGAGAGAAAACTACAGTACATGAAGTATTGTCTCTGTACGTCAGGATGTTTTTGTGTGTGAATTTGAAACAGTGGTGAATTATCTCAGTCTAACAGGAGGCTGATCAGTCCTAGAGATACTGTAGATAGAACTGTATTAATCCCTCGGAGTCGCCTTCAGGAAATTAAATTAGAGTGATTAGAGTGCCGTCATTTTCTTAGATCAGAACTGAACATGCAGTATTTTCTCATCAGGGGGTGTAAGAAATTATCCTTACACTGAAATATTGCAATAATTCATTTCATAATAACGTACCAAATATTCTACATCACTGTATAAATGTTTTATTACCAATTCCCAGTTCAATATTCCTGGTGTTGGTTCATTTCCTTTTTTGTCCAAATGTAGATCCCTCTGTTCCAGTGTTAGTAACCTGATGTTCAGATGGAACAGAGTTCAGTCTTTACTATGAACTACAATCATTGTTGAAAAAAAAAAACTTCACATATCGTCGTGCCTGTGGTATCACAGATTCTCGCCAGTACACAGACACATCTGAAAGTACTTGACCTTGTTTTAGGGAAGAGTCAGATTAAGATTAGGATTAGGATTAAGAATGACTCACTCTGCCTGTCACAGCAGCAGAGAGAGTGTGAGCAGAAGAAATAAATATTCAACACTAGAACAAATACCACTTCAGTATCTGCAGTACTCATTATGAATACTGCGATCACTCAGACTCAGACTCTGCTGCTCTTGGCTGCCTCTGGTGTTCACTCTCAGCGTGTGCCCCTGCTGGCTGCTGACCAGTGTGCACAGACATGTGATACATCTGAGTAGACTTTGTCCTGAGTGCAGCCCTGACCTCTGACCTCTCCCCTGTGTTGTTCTACAGGACATGTTACCCATGGCTGGAGATCCTACCCAGGGAGCAGCCAACTACAACATCGAGGACTTTGCTGACCTTGGCATGTTCCCGCCCTTCTCTGAGTAACCTGCCCCCCTCCTCCCCTGTCCTCACACCATCATCCTCTATTCCTCCCCGGTTTCTCTTTCTTTCACTGCTCTTCTCAGAACTGGCCTAATGTTTGTAGTCATCTCTCATCTTGTCATAGATTTTTTTTTTTTACACTGGGTCAGAAGTTTCAAAATGATTTTTTCACGGAGGTTAAAGACGATCAGCTGCAGTGAAAAATGCTGAATTGTTCAAAAGGAAATGAGAAAACTTCCATCGAATTATCAAAAAAGAAAAAGAAGAAGAAAATGCTGAAGTCAGCAGAACTGAAAACACAGACAAACGGTTAACGTGGAACCTCCGAGAACACACAGGACTGAGGAAACTGTGGCTGTGTGAGGTATTAACACAGGTATTAAATGTGTAACTACGCCAACCTCTGGTACTGCTGCGAGAACACAGATGTTCCCTGGAACTGACAGCACGGCCACCCGCAGGAACACGAGTGCAGACAGATTTTTAGCCCCTGGAACTGTTTTATCCCTTCACCAAAGTGGATACTGATGAAGCTGCCGGTTCGATGCCGGCACAGACTGATGGACAGAACAAGAGCAGTTCTCGTGTTTTTGTAACACTAATGTTCTTGAAGGGACTAACGCAACTAAAGGACGTTAACAGGGAAATGTTCTGGTTCTGTTGTTTCAACGATGGTTCTCAGACCAGGCTAGGACTAAGGTACAGTTTGCATGAACCACATGTGGTTCCAAATTTCTTTCTGCTGCGGCCCCCTTTTGTAGATAGAACTGTTGTGGAGTCCTACAGAACCCATGTCGACACATCTGCAGGTATTGGCCCAAAGCTCCCCGGAACTGTTTTTCTGAAACAGTAACTCTTCATCAAACAAAGAAAAATCAGATCTGTGGCTCAAAGTCAAATTCATTCGCCCTCTTCCCAAATAGCCCCACGTCCTCATGAGGGGGGTGCCCCCTATTTTTAGAACCAGTGGTTTAAAGTAAGTCCTGTGCACTTCACCTTTGTTGTGTGAAGTTCGACGGTGAGTAAAAATCAAAGACGACGTCTTTAAAACTGAAGCCACAGAACGACGACCCTTTGATCTGCAGAATTGTCGGTTGAAGTCTGTGACTCGTCCTCCAGTGTCCACCACAGACACAGTCAACAGACTGACTGTATCTATGACCTCACACTCGGACACACATGGATTATTAATTTAGAGGTGTTTTTTTTATCCCCACAGGAAGTTATTGACCTGAGACAAGGGCACGGAGGGTCGTCTCTGTGACGATCGGCTCTGAGGATTTATATCTGTTCTTTACTTTTACTTTCCTGATCTTTGTGGCCTGTAAATATCAGTGTATATGTCAGTATTGTCCTAAAGCCTTTGACCTCTGGGTCACGTGGGTGAATCACCAACGCTCTCTCAATCACACAGCGCAAAACAGCTCTCTCTATATGTTCTCACACAACAGCGTCATGGGTGAAGGGGGCGCTGCAGCGACCGGGTGGTGGAAATGTCATCGAAGCATCAGCATGCACTCCCCTGCACTCAGCAGCAGCAGCATTAGCATTAGCATTAGCAACATCAGAGCTGTTGGTCTAACAGGTTGATGACACATTGTTTCAAACGTCAGTCTGTCAGAGGGAGGTGGAGGTCAGGTGGTTCATAAGTACTTTAACTGAGCCGCTGCTCCACTTAACGAAGTATATGTCAGTATTATAATGTACTTTGTCATTATATGGTACTGACATACAGAACACAACCAGAAGGACTACTTTTGATGGGAAACACACAAAAAAAAACACACTATCGTCTGCAAAGAGTGTTCAGTTTAGTTTTGTTGCTGCTCGCCTCCACCACCCGCTGACCTCGCCCCCCACACCTGAACCTCCATCGACCGTACGACGTTATCTTTGTGTAGTGACGTCCACAGCTGCACTGGTGAAAGTACAGAGTGATCCTGTGTTTATGTGAAAACTACATCCTTAAAAAAAAAAAAAGCAACAGCTTGAAGTGCACTTGATGAAGCTAACTGCTAATCTCACCAGCCTACTGTTGAAAAGGGAGAGAAAAAAACAAACAAAACAAACTGCCTTCCGTCAGAGCCAAGTGCAGTATTTACTACTAGTGTTATTACGCCGTGTTCTTCTGCTCTTTCCTACTTGACTTCATGAATCTCTTTGTCTCTTAAGAGACCCTGATACTTTCTAGCCAGGCAGGTTTTACACCACAGAGTGTACAATGACTGACGGACAGATGGAGAACCGTGAGTTCCACAGGATCTCCAACCAACGTTCCTCCTTCTTTTGAGGACTTTCTCGTTTTTTTGTTTTTTGTTTTTTTTTTTCCTTCTGTAAATAATGTGAGTTCAATGTCGACCTGTGTTGCTTTCACACAGTACATGTTCTTTTGTGTAGGTTTTAATGATATCGTGTGCAATGTGACTACATATTTAACTATCGGTACTTAGTTAGTCTCTTCATTGGACATTGAGTTCTAGACCTGTACAAATGGTGTAAATGTGACCCATTATTTTTGTGTAACAAACTGTGCTTGTGACAATAAATTGTTCTTCAGGACCGGACTTTTGAGTTTCGTTGTTCCGCCACCCACAGCTTTAGACACTTTGGTGCATTGGTTTAGTTTTTGGCACCTTCATGTTTTTTTAGGTAGGAACTTTGAATACCACTTTGAATAATCAATCATTTGAATGATTATTTACTATCTACCAACTGTAGAACTTTAGACACTGACAGTGAAGGAATACTGCAGTATTATTTGTACTGCATTGATTAAACACCTGAGTTGTTTCCAGGGAAATTTTAAATCTTTTTGTTTTTCTCTGTTCATCACTGGGTTTGTTTACAGACAACCAAAAACAGAAATGCTTTTTCTTTTCTTTTTTTTAGCCGTCAAACCAAATAGTCAGTTGTGCAAAAGCGCGGTCAGGTCCTGACTCCAGTGACGAGGGTTTGTCAGGAAGACAAAGAGCTGCAGTCGCCGTAGAATCTTCTGTCCGTGTAAAGTGAAGCGCAGAGCTGTAATTTAGCAAGAATGTGACGACAGCTTGACAACATACGGTACTTTTATTTGTTTTGGTCCGGAGGTGTCCGTCACTCACCTGCCGTACGAACTCGTCCTCCGTCAGTGTGGCAAAGAGTCAGAGTGAACGCTTCTGTCAGCGGGATACGAGCTGCTGTTGTCAGAGCACTCAGAGACTTAACACATGTAAACATGGGAACATACGTGGCTGCAGGTCCCGACAGGTGTGTGTGTGTGTGTGTGGGGGTGGGTGTGGGTGTGTGTGTGTGTGTGGAGGCTCCAAAAGGCCTAGAGAGTACAGTACAGCTTGTACCACACTAGAGTTCCTTATGTACAGGGATAAGTTCCTTGGTTCTAAAACCAACTTTATGCTAAGGTGAATGCTAATGGTTTCCCTTGGTTCTAAAACCAACTTTATGCTATGGTGAATGCTAATGGTTTCAGAAATCAGGGAAGTCAGAAATTTCAGACCTCCGACGATTAATTGCAATTGATTGATTACTTAATGATTCATTGTAATTAATCAAAAACCATCTCAGTTAATCACTAATTAATCATGATTTATCTAGAGTTACCCTATGATCTATCAAATTAAGTGCAGTTTCCACAGCCCAGTTAGAACTAAACAGAACTGTTGGACCTGTACACCAACTGACTGATATATTTACGGTGTATAAATATATGTCCATATATTTCAGGTCTGTATTTTAGGTGCATCATTAAAAGTAATAATCATAAGAATTTGGTATGAAATGATGAAATACAAATACATCACTTTAATGTAAAACAATATCAACCATTACAAGAATGCCAAGCCCCCCCTCCTTGTAGTCAACATGGCAGCTCTTGGCTGCTCTTCTTTTTGCCACTTTTGAAACCTCCCTTTATCCCCTGCTCTTGAGCAAACTGGCAGATGATTTGCAAAAAAAGACAAATAGTTTCCCCCACATTCCTTCCTGACATGACATGCACTTGGATCAGCCTCCTGAATTCCCTCCTGACACTGGGCTGAGCTGAGCAGCACACTGATGGACGGGCCGAAGAGGCTCTGACTCTCAGGATGTCTTCCATCTCCGTGTTGCTGACGTCCGACTCAGCTCCACATCACCTGATAGTCGTTAGTCCACAAAGAGCAGCTGTCTTCTCATCAAAGGAAATAAGAGTCCAACTCCGGTCTGGTAAAAGGCTCAGGAACTGGCTCTTCACAGAGGTTCACCTCAGGCCCTGAAGCCATCACTGAGACTCTGCTGGGCCGTGCGTGTCCTGACTCTACGTGTGGTTGTGTGCGATAGTGTTTCATTTGCATAAGCTTCTTAGGTGTTGTGCAGCGTGTGTTCTGAGTATGCCTGTTTTGTACGACTGTGCCCGGCGCAGCGGAGCAGCCTGCTTGCCCGCAGTCGCAGTCCTGCTGCTGTGAGTCTCCACCAGACGCACTGACGATCCACTGAGTGGAGGAAAAGAAAACAAAGGCTGCCGTGCCATCAACTCTGTTTCCTGTTCACCTGCACTTCCATCTACGAACACAACACAGCTTTATTATTCTATGTATATATACTGCACTATATGTCCAATAATCCCACAATTCATCCACATGTTGCTCTAATACATGAGTTCTCAACCCCTGGTTCGGGGACCAGTGCCAGTCCGTAGGACATTTGGTAGAGGGACACAGTGAAAAATGTACTTTAGTTTTACTAATTTACTTCATTCCAAAAGGATCCAGTCATATCCCTTTACTTTTTTCATTCAAAGATAATCTGTTAATGTTTTAAAACACCAGGTCAAAGGTCATTCAGACTCTGATACTAACAGAAGAAAGTCTGAAAGGTGTTTTATTTGAAAATGTAATGACCCTTCAGTCCAGATGAACAATCATGAATGAAATCCAGCCGGGGTGACCGCCTAATGTATGTGGCCCACTGTATGTGGCCCACTGTATGTGGCCCACTGTATGTGGCCTATGTACCAACAGCCAGTATTGCAGTGCAGCTCTGGACACCAGGTAATAAAGTACACATTAATACAGCTGGAACAATACAAAGTCTTCAGACATGTTTAGTTCCTCTCTTCACAGTCGACGCTGTGAGGAAAAGTGGAACTTGGCTTTCATCTCATTATGCTAATGCAGGTGGCTGCAGTTTGAGTCATAAAAACCCACTCACCCTCGTACAGAGGATTGCTGTCCACGCAGATGGGAAGTGACAGTTCCCTGTCACACGGCTGCTCATAGGCTGTGGAGTTGAAGGTAAACTGGAGGCCGACCTGGTTGTTTCAGAGTCACATTAACAGACAGAAAACCATTTACGGTTCCCCCATTGGCTAATGTTTAGACTCAAATTAACATGATGTCAGATTTTAATGTGACGACCTGGAGAAGAAGTGGCCAAAATAAACCGTCTGCACAGCTGGTTAGCAGAGCTGCAACCTTCTGGTTTTCCGCATCTTTACAGAGATCATTTTCAATTAAATTGTATGAATTATTTATATGTAGTCGTTTGGACGACAAGGACCAGAGACTTGTTATATGAGGAGGTGTTTTCGGTTGCCAGCAGCGATGGTGGTAACAGTGGTGCTTTTAATAATGGATAACTGAAGCCACTACTCTTTCTACTGTCACTATTCTATTCTGTTCTATTCGATTTGAATCAAAGCTTATGTTTAATCTGTTAAACTGTTGACTTTGGTGAGAAAGGAAGTTGATATCTTTCAAGTGTTTATTTCATTTCTTAAAATATTTAATATTTATAATATATATTTAATATATTTATTTTACTAAACATAAATGAAACATACTGTACAGTAGAATAGTATTTGAACATAGAAAATTGCACATACCAGGTAGTACAAGTTACTTTTATTATACAATAGTCTGTAACCAAGTTAGTTACTCATTTACATTTCAAAGAAGTAGTAATTAGTGACTTTTTAAAAAGTTTTAACTGCCAAACACTAAAGTTGATTTTTCAGTCGTTAGAACAAATATGTTCAGACGGCGAACTTCAGCCTGTGGTGGATGTTTTCTCCCTCTGCTCGATAAGAACAGTTTCTTCAAGCGTCTGCCTCAAACGTCCGACAGGTGCTGTGTTCTAAAAACACACGTCTGAAGAACTTTCTCAGACTCTGTTATATTTGAACACATTAGACGTCGGTGACGGCGTTTTTCCTCCAGGCTACGACAGATGTACGCAGCCCAGTGCTGTCACTGTGTGGTTGTAAATGACAGCTGAGTGAGATGTGTGTGGAGCGACTGCTCTCTCTAACACACACACACACACTACTCTCTGATATGACATGTTGTGTTTGCACATACATACAACTCTTACATTCAACTCTTCACATCCTGTCACTGCAGTCAGAATCAGAAACACTTGATTGGTCCCCAGGGTGAAATCGTTGAAATTCCTTCTGGATGCATCATCTGTGGCCATAAAGTGACCAGAACTCATTTCTGAGCTGTAGCCAAATACACAAAGAACAATTTATTTTTTGTGCTAACAGTGAACATTATGATTTGACTTTTACATTTTTTTGAAGTTTGAGACCCATTTATAAAAAATATAATTATTCATTACTGATACTTTTCTTTGACGTAAACTAAGTGACTTAAACTGCTATTACCTTATTTTGTGGCGAGTTAAAATAACCTTTGCTTACGGATGCAGCGATGTGGATACTAGTATTGACGTAACGTCTTAAGACAATACATTTCTACTAACCTGACTACTCCCAACCAACAACCTGTTTCCTGATTGGTCTGGAGAAAGAACTTTTTTTTCATAAATTGTTATATTTTGATAATTACCCAATTGTTTTAAAGTAGAAATGATAACTTATATTGTTTTAACGTTTTTACACATTTTTGTGGTTGGGTAATAAAACGTGAAAGAAAAGAGAATACGAAAACGAACCGGATATCCGCTGTAACCGGAAATCCTTCCTGTCTCCGTTCAGAAATTATGGCTGTCTTCATCCACAAACATCCGTTTGCACCAGATAACAAGTGTAAAACTGTGAAGAATCGTTCTGTCGTCGCGTTGTATTAGCTGCTTTTGTTCGGTTAGGAAACATACCCATACTTTCACCGCTGCCGATTCCTGGTCTGCCTGAACGAAGTCGCCCTTTAACAGGTACCTCTTAGCTTGGTAGCGTTAGCTGCTAAGCCGCAACAGCAGCCACCTGTCAGCTAGCGCCGCTCGCCACAGGCTATTAACAGTGAGTATAGTGTTAGCGCAAATTGACAATTTAATTCGTGTTTTTGTGAATATATTCGCCTAAATGCCTGAACAAGGCCCCAGGATGAACGGTTTTTCTCTCGGTGAGCTGTGCTGGCTCTTCTGCTGTCCACCCTGCCCCAGCCGCATCGCGGCCAAACTGGCGTTTCTCCCACCGGAGCCCACCTACTCTGTGCAGAGCGATGCTAACGGTGTCACCAGCTTACATTTAACCGAGCGGGCAGACTGGCAGTATTCGCAGCGAGAGCTCGATGCCGTGGAGGTGTTCAACACCAGAAGCAGCCGTGGTAATCGAATTGGCTGCATGTTCGTGCGCTGCGCCCCCAACAGCCGCTACACGCTGCTGTTTTCCCACGGAAACGCCGTGGACCTGGGGCAGATGTGTAGTTTCTACATTGGCCTCGGCTCCAGGATCAACTGCAACGTGTTTTCTTACGATTACTCAGGCTACGGAGTGAGCACCGGGAAACCGTCTGAGAAGAACCTGTATGCAGACATCGAAGCGGCCTGGCAGGTCCTCAGAAACAAGTGAGTACAGAAGAAGTGCTAATGTACTCCATATACATGTATGAATGAATGTATGTACGTAATGGGTCTACACAGTGGGGGAGTACATACCCTAGTTACACTAAACCAGGGGTCACCAACGTGGAGCCCAGGGTCACCTAGTAGCCCCCAAGTACTACTAAAGGTGCCTGTGCAGTGTATTCTACAAGTAAAACTAGTCAACGAGAGGGTCAAAAAGTTGTACTGTTACTGTGTTTTCGGATCAGTTACACTTGCAGTGACAGTCAAATGGGTGCAGTGACGATGGTAAGAAAGTCTGTGTCAAACAAGTAGCTCTTTCTATTACTGAGTGACCTTGAAACAAGTAGCTCTTTGTATTACTGAGTGACCTTAAAGTAGCTTTCACTTTCAAAAAGGTTGTTGACCCCTGCACTAACCACTCCTAGTTGTACCTGAGGTAACATTTATGTGTTTTTATAATCTACTTCTCAATCATTGTTGTTCTTTATAGAATGGGGTTATTACAGTATGAGAGAAGAAGGTTATATGTTGGTATTTGGACTCCAGTTTAGTATATTTTAGCTGTAAACTGAATAACCACACAAACGACGATTTTGAATCACTGCATTAAATATTATGGCTGTATTACAAATAAAAAATAAATTTCGAAATTATCTTGAAAAAGTTGTGTAAATTATGAGAATGCAGTTATAAATCTATCAGAATAAAGATTTACGTTTATGAGATTATCATTGTAAATGTACAACATTAAAGTCATTAATTTAGGAGAGTGTTAACCATAAGATTGTAAGAATAGTAAACGTGGAGTATTGTGTTAAAGATAAGGACCTGTCATCTTCTGGCTCATCAACATCACATCGTAATTAGCATCAGGACATTGAAGAGGTTGTCTTTACTAATACTAATACACCTAAACAACTTCTCATCACCTCAGTAAGAATGTGGGTCCTTACTAGTACTTTTATCAAAACATAATAAATAAGTGGAATAATTCTGTCTCCATCATGTGGATATTTTCTTTGTCCGATGTTTGTGATGCTGCCAAAACAGACTGTTCGATTCTTCGCTGATGATGTGTTCCAAATGGTTTACGTTAAGTTATTTTTACCATGTTTTTGTGTCTGTTTGTGGTTAGTTTCCAAACCAATGTCTGAGCCTTTATTAAGACAAGACTCAGAAAACTGAAAATATCTCAGGACCAAAGAAATACCTCTGCCTGCAGAATCACTCTGTCTGCTTTGGCCTGGTGATTGTTCCACAAAACAAAAAGCACATGATCTCTGGTCTTGATCATCTGCCACCTCAGTAGTTTCACCAGCACAGAGGTGATTCATTATCTGTGGATGTAACTGTTCAGTAGCCCTCACCGTGCCCAACATCCAGACTTTTATCTTGGCTTGGACTTGAAGGTTGTGTTGCCAGTTTTGTTGATTCTGTGTAATTTCTACATAGTTTGTTCTAATGTTTTGTTTCATTCTGGCTGAGGATTTCATTTGGAACCATTTGTCTTTCCTGTTTCTGAAATATTTGGAAACTCTCTTGTTGGAATCGGAAATGTTTTTATGTTCCTTTGCACAAACAGTTTAATAAAATTAATGTTGCGTCTATAACTCTACCGTCATGTACTTCCTTTTTCCTGGCAAAAAAAGGGAAAATTGTCTTTTGATCTAACGTGTTGAAGGAAAATTTAACCAGCTATTAACCCTGGCTTTTTTTTTACATAATTCATAGGCATTTCCTGTCCTCTCTCAGCCCAAGACCATAGTGACTGTAGTTCCATTCAACTTTTCAACTATTCAGCTGTAACAATGTTTTAAAATAAATTGTATGAATTAGTATTAAAATAGGAAAACAAATTATCTAAATTATCCAATCAGGACGTAAAGCATTGTTATTATTATTATTGTTATTTATTTTATAAACCAATCAGGACGTAAAGCATTGTTATTATTGTTGTTGTTCTTTCAGAAAATTGATGTTCTTTCAGACTTGTTAAAACTTCCTTTGCCACATGGCTTTTTAACTCGCCAAAAAAATCCTCTTCATTCATTTCCTGTAGACCCTCACTCGCCTTAAATCAACTTTAGGACAATGAGATTCCAGTGGTCCTTCAATCTTGGATGAAATCAGGATTTGATTTAGACATTTTTACCAGTTCAGGTCGCATTTCAAAGATTTATTATTAAAGGCATGCAAAGGTCTGGATGAAAGATTAAACCTTTTTTTCGGTTATGTGACATTTATATTTTGACTTGACATCTGAGTCCCTTTGTTCTGCCTTTGTGGCTGAATAAGTTATTTTAGTATCACATCAGGAAAATTGTTTTTTCAGCCATTGCTGAAAGGTCAGCTGGTATAATCCTGTTTGACCAAAGGCCTTCTGTGTGCAGCACACGTGTACTCTATCTGTGTGCAACCACTTCCTTCCATTCCAAAAACCAGTGGACGAGTAATTAGCCAGTTGTGAGACCATAAATGGTGTGAATCGTGTGATGGTCTTAGTATCTCGGCCTTGGTACGGACGAAAACCCTGCTGAGAATTTACACTGTTGGCCCTTTGTCAACTGGATTTGACTCCAGTTCCCCATGTGACCCCCGACAGGATAAGTGGGTGATGATGAATTTTATTGTTATCAGCTTTGACTCCAAACAACTGCTGCTCAGTGCCTGCAGTTAAGTCAGACTTTAGAGGAGATTTTCTTACAGTTTCACAGCCATTGATTTACGGCTCGCTGAAAAGAAAATCTCTGAGGATTTGCTGTTCACTGATGATGCAATTTACATTTACTGAACAGATGTTGTCACTAAGGACTTCAGATTGTTTTTGAGAATTTTGACAGAACATTTTAGATCAGTCATAAATAATTGATTAAGGGATTAAGCAGGATCTAGTCAATTAAAATGCAGTTGTGATATTTTTGTAACCAAGTATTCTAAGAGGAAACATTATTAATTATATATATATCATAATATTATAATATGTATATATTATAATATATATTTAATAATAATCTTACTACAAATTGTCCGTGGTTACATTGTTCTTTGATATACACATAGACATTTATAATAGTAAAAATACTTCCATATGATTGGCTGTCCCACCAGAAGTCTCAGTTTCCTATGTCATTTTCTTTACTTTGATGAAACCTACAACTTAAAGAAATTATTAGTGTTTTTTGTTGTTGTTTTTTTTTCTACCTAATCAGGGAAACAGGCAGCAGGTCGTGACAGATAAGTGTTAGTTAACAGAACTGTTGTCAGGAGGTTGATGTGCTGTGACTTCAGCTGCAGCCGCTCTGTCACTTGCAGTTTCCTGGTGTTCACCTGAACCTCACGCAGCTACTGGTTCCTCGCTGTCACTGGTTCACATTTTTCTCCTGACTTGCACTTGCCTCCAGCTGCCAAATGTGGAACCAAAAATACAGCAGACGTGTTCCAGTGAAGGTGACAGTTATGCACAGAGCCAGAACCGATCTTGGTGGAGAAGAACAGTCACAGTCACAGTGGTACTCAGTGGTTCAGTGGTTCAGTGGTGAGGAGCGTTGGTGTTCCTGCTTCTGTGTGGAATCATATTCCACTGTTTTCTCCAACAACAATCCCAGACGTTGGGTTGTGACCACATGTTGATCAACATTTTGTTTAGATTTACATTATACCTCAAATACAAGTGCCTGATACTAGTTGTTTAGATTTACATTATACCTCAAATATAATACCTCAAATTGGTCTGAGATGAAGAATGTGTAGTTGGTAGTACTGTCTCTGTCTTCATCAGGTAATTATACTAAACTCATGGTACTACTGTAGAAAATAATACTTTTCTATGCCTGTCGAAGTTGGAAATGTCCTTGAAAAGTACTTAGATCCCAGTAAAGAGTGGTAATGAAGTACGTGTGGTACTTTACTGTCAGTTGAGACTGTGTTTTATGAGAAAGTATTACTTTCAAAAGACTTTAATTGCCAATAGAATGAATAAGATCTGAAATGAAGACATAGCTACATACAGTTTAACACAGGGGTTGCCAACCCCTGGTTGGGGGATTGGTGTTGGTCCGTAGGTCATTTTGTACCGGGCCACAGTGGTAGATAGTGATAAAATGTACTTCAGTTTTACTAATTTACTTCATTCAAAAATAATCCAGTCATATCCCTTTACTGTTTTCATTTAAAGATAATCTGATAATGTTTTAAAACAACAGGTCAAAGGTCATTCAGACTCTGATACTAACAGAATAAAAGAGTCTAAAAAATGTTGTTTTGAAATGTGATGATCCTTTGATGATAGCGCAGTACTACCAGTCCGGCTGATACCGGACGACCGGTGTTTGGTACAACAAAGGTGGAGGACCGCTGGGTCAACAGACCTCTTTCCTGGTCACGTTTTAATCGTTTTGCGATCTTTGTTGTGATGGACGACTTCTTCTTCTCTTCTGTCTGCATCGACTTTCACGGCTGGGCTTCATGCTTCCTCTCCAGACTGTGAGCTCTGCCAAGGGAGCATGCCGTCCCTCTTCCGTGACTGTGAGCTCTGCCAAGGGAGCATGCTGTCCCCTCTTCCCTTCCTCTCACCAGCAGATTCTTGAGAGGTCTGTTGTCTGTCAGCGGTGCCTTTCACTGCTGGTGGAACAGACAGGCTGGGAGCAGCACACAGTAGAACCCTGAGTCCAGAAGTCGTCTGTGATGGTCTGTCCGACTGCTCACTAATGATCCCAGATGTTGTTAAAGAATTCCTAACAGAACCCATGTCATCCAGGAATATCTGCTTTGGGTGATCCACTGTTAGGCAGGAAAGAGTCCAGGGCAGATGGGAGCGAAGTGTCTGTGGGTGATTTGTTACAGAAGCTGCAACATTGAAAGGGAAAGTTCATGAGATGGTGCTGAGACCTGCTGTGAGGTTTGGTCTGGAGTCCAGGGCTCGCTCTGGAAGATGAAAATACTGATGAACAGGATCAGGAGTGAGTGGGCCAGAGGGAAGACACGTGCTGGGCTGTTTGGAGATAAACATAGTCAGAGAGCTGAGGTTGACATGGTTAGAAAATGTGGGCTGAGAAGAGAGACTGAATAAGAAGGATGAAGGATGGACCTGCTGAGAGGGAAAGTGGGAGAGAATATGTGTGGATGTAGTGGAGGAGGACATGGAGACGTTGGTGTAATCATTTCGGGGGACTCGCTGTGGTGACCAGTAACGCCTGGTACCCACTACACAAATTTCACAGTTTTTACAGCTTTTAAATAGACCTGGAGCTCGGGCTAACAGACTGGTCTCAGCAGATTTTTCTTTGAGACGTGAAAGACCGGGAGCACATCCCAAACAACCGTGTCTGATGGAGAAGGGAGGTTGATGGCGGGGCTGTGTATCTAGGGACCACAGACCACAGGATTAGTCAAACCTACTGAGGCTAACTGAAAGCGTTGAACTGTCACACACACAGTTTCTTTAAGTCAACAGCTCTGAATATTTTCAGCCATATCTCGACACATTGTAGAGATTACGGTTTTTTGTTTACATTCAAACATGTTTGACTGTCGGTGCTGCAGGTTGGGAACTCATGGTCCATTGACAGTGTAGCAGTTAGAGTCCTGGGTTTGATCCCCAGAGGAACCACATATCCCTAATGCTGCCTCCTGTGTGGCATGACATGGAACCATGTACTCAATGGCGCCTCCTGTGGCAGCCTGTGAGTTGCAGCTACAACTTAATTGTACTTTTTGTTGCAGCTCTTGAGTTGAGTTGTTAATGTAAGAACAGAATGTTAATAACTACATTGACTGAACCACGTTCACATGGTTGTTGGATGGCTGTTGTGGCTGCCTGTAGTCACTGTGACTGTATTGAGCGTTGGTTGGTCTGAACCTCTGGCTGTTTTATGTGGAGATTTTCCAACTATTACCATTTCAGATTGTGCCTTTTCTTTAAAAATGTTTTTCCTGAAGCTCTCAGTGAGACACTCGGACAGACGTGGCTGCAGTTTCATCTGTGGAGCAGTGTAAACATGATGTGAGGTTCACACCATGTCACTTTACAACATGGGAGTGGTTTGTCATTCTCCACGCTCGGCTTGTTCCTCTGGTTGTATTTCATTTTGCAGTGACAGTGACAGACCAGCAGACCCACCCTGTCATGATCATCCACTGGTGTCTGATGTTTGTTCTAATCTGTAATTTGTGCTACGTGACACAGATCACTCCCACATGAAGGCAAGAAAGTCATGAGGATGAAATCATAAATTTGCTCTCTTATTCATCAGAATAAAGTTGTAATGTAGGTCTCCTTGTGTGACCCGGAGTCACATGACCAGTCTCTCTGTGACTACCAGCATTGACTCTAGCGCCCTCCTCTGACTACTGTTTAAAAGCCTTGTGATATTTTCATGTCCGCCCATTCAGTGGATAAATTCAGTTTAATGCAAATGAATTTCTTCAGCGTTTTCACATGTCTCTCCTGTCTTTGTTCAGGTACGGAGTAACACCTGAGAACATCATCCTCTACGGTCAGAGTATCGGCACGGTTCCCACCATTGACCTGGCCGCTCGCTACGAATGCGCCGCCGTCATTCTGCACTCACCGCTCATGTCAGGGCTGCGGGTAGCTTTCCCCGACACGCGCAAGACCTACTGTTTCGACGCCTTCCCGAGGTGAGTCCTACAGGCTTTAGCTAAAACCTGGACAACTAGGGCAACGTGTCAAAAAATGTGTCCTAGTCCACACCAAGTCATCCTTGTTGGGTCCATTAAATAAATAATAATAAATGAAAATAATGAACAATAAAATAAGTCCAGTATACAGCTAGGTTTTCACGTGGAATCCAGATCCTACCCGTCTTGTTCTGCTCATGCCTGCATCTGCTTTATTATACTCTGTGGTTTTGATCCTACCCGTCTTGTTCTGCTCATGCTTGCATCTGCTTTATTATACTCTGGTGGTATTCACATGACCGCATCACAGTTGCTTTGCGTCTGTGACCGACTTTAAATAAATAAGCTCAATATTTAGGGAGAACTGTCAGTTCTCTTTTCTAAAAACAAGGAATTAAAATGATCCTTCAACTCAATTTCTAACTGTCGTATCCCATTAGCCACAGCAGCCGACTTTACAACGTCCTTCTCTTCCTCGTTGCTTTTCATTAAGTTCTCTGGCTTTTTTGTAAAGCCCTCTCCCCACCCCCTCACCCCTTAATATTCACTCTCTCTCTCTCTCTCTCTCTTTTACTCTCCCTCCATATTCATTAATGTGTAATACTGGTTTGTGATGAAGGACCATCTGTAAATGTGCTCCTGGTACAGAAGTTGGTGTTTATCTGAGTCATCAACAGCTGCAGCAACACAATCAACATGTTTTTTCTGCTAATTTAAAAAAATCTCTAATCAGTGATGGTGAATGTTTTGTGTTTGTTAGCTATTTTCCAATTTTCTAAAGTTTATTTTCTCACTGCTTCAAAACTAATTGGTTTGATTATAGATGAATGTTCAACCTGCGGCTCCACAGCTATTCTGGTTGTTTGTTTATTGTTAGTTTTATGGTTGGGAGACAGTATTGACTGTCCAGAATGAATTTTTTAGGTTTTAGTACCTTTTTCCTTTTCTTTTTTAAAATATTTCTATATTCTAATCTGCAGTTTTTCCATTTTTCAATTCCCAGATTTTATATTTTAATATTAAGATATGCTACATTTCCCCCGTGGGCTTCGTTGCTGTGATTGAAATTCCTTATTTGCAAAATTACAAATTTTCCCTTGTTCTACATTTGAATATTTTATTCATTTTCAATATTTAAATCTTTAAATTTTCTCATGTGCAAAATGGCAATATTTCCATTTTAACATCTGCATTTAACACACCATTGTTGTAAGTTCTGCTCTTTGTCATCTTTATTTTCCTACGGTACAAAGTCGTCAGAATATGAAGACACAGTCATGGACTTTCAGACAGTCTGATCGTCTGGTCCCCAAAGTTCTGACAGTCTAATTATCCACACAGTGACAGTAATGCTAAGAGCAGCCGATCATCCTTATTATACTGTAGGGGTTTTCTTTTCTTTTTTTTTTTACAATTCCTTAACATTGTACACGACACAAAAGTTGTATTGAATTAGTGAATATATTTTATCACCTCCTTTTACAGTGTGTTCTCTGGAGTGGTCAGGAAATTATTCCTGTTTGACAACCTCATTGGCAATTAATCAGTGTCTACGCCCGCGTCGTGAAGTAAAAAGGATAATGGTTTTATTCTGTCTGGAATGAAATTAGCTGACCATGATTTCCTTCCATTAATCTTTCTGCTAACCTCTATCTGAAGGCAGGGCAACACCGAGGCTGCGGCGCCGCTCTGAGTTATAGGAACGCCGTCAGGGACGAATCTGTATTCACGACCGACGCCGCACCTTCACACCATTCACAGCACAGGCTGAAACAGCTGATGATCCTTTTAACTAAATCAGTGTGTGCGCGTGTGCGTGCGTGTGCATCACACAAAGGCGTCAAGAACACCTGACACAAAAGTGACACACGGAAAAAGGAATTCCATTCACAAAACCAAAGTAATATTCCAATTTAAAGTCCTTTGCCTGAAATCTGAAAGAGTTTTCCACAGCTGGAGACGAAAGTTTTCAACCTGTTCTTTAGAATCTGTTAAAAAATGTTGGACATAAGAAACTGTTGGCAACACGGAGTCGTCTGCAGAA